CCAATCATGGCGTGTACTCAAATCCTTTACACAGGTGGGGGCCCATAAAACAAAGAGTTCGGCGCTGTTTTAACCAGAAGTTTAGATTCGTCTGTGGCGCAGGCTAGATAGATAGATAGATAGATAGATAGATAGATAGATAGATAGATAGATAGATAGATAGATAATCTTTATTTATCCACGGTACAAAATTCGTCAGCTTTAAAAATGCCTAATACTAATATAATAAAAATATTTAAATAAAAAAGCTGCTTTCCACGAATGCCGTGCCTTACGGTTCTTTGACTAATCGTTTAAAATGCCCAAGGAACTCTGCTTCCCTTAAGTTACAAGGAAGACTGTTCCAGAGAATGGCGCCACTATAGCTGAAGCTGTTTTTGTAATAGTTTGTGCGCGGTAATGGAACATTGAGTTTATTTTCAGAGTCCCTTAGGTTATATGCGACTTCTTGCCTTTCAAATTTAGAACTAAGATAGTTTGGAGCCAACCCGTGCAGAGACCTTTAAACCATCGTAGCTCTTTGAATTTGTTGCTGGCAAGCTACGTTTTTCCACCCTAGAAGTTTGAAAAGGTGACCAGCATCTACGTCATAGCTTGAGTAGGTCAAAACACGGGCAGCTCTGTTTTGTAGCTTTTGAACCTTATTCCGTAAAGTTATCCCACAGTTTCCCCAAACAATGTTGCAATAATCAAAGTGTGGCTGTATTAAAGCTTGATATATTGGTTGTAAGGTCGCCTGAGGGACCAGGTGCCTTATTCGTTTTATGGCCCCAATAACAGAAGCGACTTTCTTTGTTACTTTCTCGATATGGTCACTCCAATCAAGTCTGTTATCGATGGTCACTCCAAGTGATTTTGCAGTAGTGACCTGGCTAACTTGAAAATCGTTAATTACAAATGTCGGGGACTCTGTGAGAGTACTTAGCCTCTGCCTAGATCCGATAAGCATAAATTCGGTTTTAGTCATATGTAGAGTGAGTTTGTTTGCTCTCAGCCAATTGTGAACATTTTCTAAATCTTGATTTAGATGCAACTGAATATTGTCTGCATTATCACCTGCGTACGTAAGGTGGGTGTCATCAGCGTACATCCTCGGCTCACAATTTGAAAGACAGTTTGGAAGATCGTTGATGTATAACGGAAATAGTAGTGGACCTAAAATTGTCCCCTGGGGAACACCACAACTTAATAAACAGCTTTGAGAGAGCGATCCGTTGATGGAGCACATTTGAGTACGATTCTCTAAATGTGACTTAAACCATTGGTGCGCGTTACCATATACGCCGTAATTGCTTAATTTTGATAAAAGGATCTCATGGTCAATTGTGTCGAAGGCCTTTTTTGAGATCTAAGAAAACAACGGCGTTGATTTTACCGCGGTCAATATTATACGCCCAAGTGTCCGTGGCCTCAGGAGAGCCGTGACAGTTGAGTGAATAGCACGAAAGCCTGACTAAAAGAAAGCGTACATAGAACTCAGCTCAAGAGCTCTAAATTGGACCGTTCAATATTCGTCTAAATTTTCGTACGGCTATAAGATGATTCCGTGTGAACGGAACAAGGTACCGTGTGAACCTAGCCTGAGTCGCATCCTAGGTCACATTTTTCCCTTCCCCTCTCGTTTAAAAGATGTTCAATTTCACCTCAAAGGAGTCGGTGAGTGTCTAGCTACTTTACCTGTTTTTCTTTTCGCTTTGGAATCATTGACTGACTTCTCACTTTTCTCATTGTCTTTATCTTCCTTCTTTTCCGCCTGCTGCTGTTCCCTGCTCTCTAACGCAGTAGGTATATACCCAAGTCCTCCCGCATCGGGAGATAACGGTGGGGATACCACGGACTCCGAGTCTGAGATGTCAGATTTGACAGATTTTATCGACGACCCGCCCCAGCTATCGGCTAAGTCCTTGCTGTCGGCTTTTTCGTCAGCGGTAGTAGCTCCCTTATCAAACAAAGACAATTTTGGTTTCTGCCTTCCGCTCTTAAAATTACTCGGTGATTTGGTACGCGGTGAAGTAACTGGCGGTGACATACTCCGCGCAAGTTCTCTTTCAACGTCCTCGTCAGCCTCGCTTTCCTCTTTCAGAGGCCCGGAATTTCCTAGGGGATCACTGATGTCATCATCTGGCTCTGAGCGGGCACTGCTCACCATTTTAAGGTAAGCAGCCGATTCTGTTAATGGTACATCGTCTTCAAAGTCATCTTCGTACGACGCCGACGGTTCGGGTGTAGGCTTGCGGTCTCCTTCACTTGGTTTGCTATAGAAAAAAAAAAAATTGACGTATGTTTATTAGGTAGTGTTCGCCTAAACCACTACATAAGAATAAGTTTGTGAAGAGTTTTGTCGACAATTTTAGACAAAGTAGATTAAATCTGATGATCTATGCAATACGGGATATCTTCAACCATTGCTGACATAACCGTTTTAGATGAACCTTGCAGAATACAATATTTGAAATACATCGACTACAGCCTACGGACTACGGTTGAGCGCATGTCACTCAATTCCCAACAAGTTTAATACATGCACCGTTCATCCGAGAGAGTTCTGTTACCATATTTGTAACAAAATGATAGTTTATGGATCCATGTTTTCTTCGTGTGCGTAGCTCGTAAGATGTGATAAAGCCGTCTCGAAGTAATCTCGTCCGCAGATCGAGATCATCGCATCTTAACTCTTTAAAGGGGATTTAGGTTGTCAGTTCTGTGCTACAGTCATTACTTAGTGCTTTCACCCATACACAAAATGTTCCCTTAGAGATATCAGGGAGAACTAACCATAATAATTTTTTGACGATTTTGGCAGGCACAGCATTCAGTTACACCTGGAAAAGCTGGCCCAGTTTTTTTTTTCCAATCCATGTCCATTCTTACCATCCTTTGCAACAGACGACAGGAAAAAGTTTCAGTGACAAAATTGGGTGTTTTTTTCTTGGAATCCAATTGACCTGAGGACACGTTCAAGCTTTTTTTTAATAGCAAATAGCGTGACGTAGCCTCTTTAAATACATGTATTGTTGTTTCTGTTGATAAACTATTAATTGACAAACAGAGTCACTGACGAACGTATTTTGCTTGTAACCTACACTGGCTGAGCTTTAGGAGGTGTAGATCCCAGGGTACTGCTGGAACCCTCACTTGCGATGGACACATCATCCTTGTTTGGCACCTCAGTTTCCACGCGAGGCTCGAGATCCAAGTCGTCAGCTGGAGGGGGAGAGGCCGATGGATCGCTGGTATCTAGCACTGCAGCTTCCAGAATTCGAGTCAGCAGCAGTTGACTCTGAAAAGAATCGATTTGAAAAATGTTCAGAAAGGAATGTTTCAAGAACGTATATAAACGTCATTCTCAGAAGAATGTTGCCAACCTTCCTCCACACAAGAAGCTACTGCAGCAGACTGCTTACTGCCGGGGCTGGACACTTCTGAGTGTCCAGTTTATCTGCCTTAGAGAGCTCCCGCCTTAAAACAGTGGCATTTGCTTGAGGGACAGACCTCCCTGTGACTATTCCCTAGAGTAGTGTTTACCTCTCAAGGGTGGCTATTTTACGGGTTAACATTACTACTGTAAATGACCTATTAGACGCCCACTTCCAAATAAACGCCTATTATCTATTAGTAAAATCCAACTAGTGGTCTATTATCAATGCTGCGCTCTGATTGGTTGAGCTACTACTAGGTTATATCTTACAGTCCACTAGTAGCGAAAAGCGCCGGCTTTGTAAACCAAAACAATGGCCGCAGAATTGCGCTTTGCTGGCTTAAGTTGTTTTGTCTCGATATTTTTGACCAACTAGTTGGATTTTACTAAAACAATTATCCATCTCGCCCTCATCGCCTCTGAGTCAATAGCCCATTCGGCCCTCGTCTTCATGGGCTATTGACTCAGAGCCCATTCGGGCTAGAAGGAATAATTGTTAAATAATCATCCCCTGCAGGTCTAATAGAGGCCACCCGTGAGAATTACTCCAAAATACTAGGAATTAACAAAAAGGAGAAAAATCATTCAAGTCAGTCAGTTTTCTCCTTGATTAAGAAGGTTATGTGTCTTTCATCTTGTTCAGTGTCAAGTACAAAGGGGCGTAATCGAAGTATACAGTAATCATACCTAGCTTTAACTGCCGCACGTTATAAGACTTGAATCTGAAGTTCAACAAGTAAAGAAGCGATAACATTGCGCTCGGCACCGTCTCGAATATTTACGGTAAAGAACTACTCTCGACATTGTGACGTCACTGGATAAAAGAATATCCAGATTCCGGATTCACAGCGTATTCAGAAATTTCCACTCTGGAGGGAGGACTTAAAGAGTTGCTGATTCGTACGCTGGATTCACCGGATACGGGTGGACTGAAGCCGAATCCGGAAAGAAAAAGTTGCGGATTCAAAACTATCGGGATACGTGTGAACGGGGCCTTGTGGTGAGACACTTTTGTCGCAAGAAATTTGCATAGGTGCTGGCCACGTGAGTGAAAAAGCTATAAAGGAAAGATACTTGTGTGGTTTTGGGATTGGTATACATCAATTTTTTTTTCACTTGTTCAGATTAGTAGCATTTGTAAAGCCAGCTTTATCCCTGATTACAGTGTTAGAACAATAAAAGCTAGCCGAGGTAAGTGTTATCAGCCGAGCCCAAGGCCGAGGCTAATAACACTTACAGAGACCTTGATTATTAAGAATATCACAAAAACCGAATCTAATAATTGTTTCATTGTACGGTTTTGAGAAAAATAGCGACAAACACTCAGTCGCCAGGAAATTGATGTTGTTATTGAAAATCAGGCATTGCGCGCGCAACCTACAGATTAGTCAGTTATCTGCTAACAGATAACTAACAGATAACTAATTAATCTGTAGGTTGCACTGATTTCCAAAGTAAGCTGTAGGCTCTTAGCCAATGAGAAGACAGATAGTGAGTCCAATGTATAATAAGAAGGCATATTTGCTGGACAAGAAGATGTAATATTGGCATTCATGCACAAGTAAAGTAAAGTTCCATGGCGCGTGATGACACGCACTGTCAAAGTTGACAAAATGAACTTGAAAAAAGGACTCATTGATGATGTGATCCCAATTGCTAACTTTGCACTTTGTTCATTTGTTTACACTATGTATATTTATTGTTGATACCCGCGCATTCAGTATAAGTATAGCTTTCCTACCGAAAAGTGATTTTGGCAATTTAAAATCAAAGGAATTTCCTCTTTGCCAGAAGGACGGCTGAGGTGCTTTCCTTCAACACCTCACACGACGCTGAGAATATCACTGAACAACACGGAAAGATGATTGTTGAAAGGGTTTCACATATGAGCTCTCTTTACCAGTTATGCACGCTGTGCTATTCTTAACACCTAAACAGCCTGGCGGGCTGATTTGGCAAATCAACAACTGAAAGAAAGTGGTAACCTGACGCTTAATTTATGTGAGAGATTTTTTCCTGGTTTTCTCATTGGGTTTTTGGCAAATGGATTCAAAATTTTTTCCATTTGCACGTAATTTGAGGCAAACGAAGGCGAGAAAAACCATACCCGATTCAAGACCAAAATCGACAGTCTATACTGTTTTCAGACCAAAACGGTGCAAAAACCCTACCCTTTGGGGTAGCACATACCTATATGGCTATATAAGCGCGTACCCAAGGGATATAGAAGTGGTAGGATCGCGTACAAACACATGGAGAGCCGCTTTTTTGACGGGCAAAGCTAACGAAGTAAAAAGATCATTTCGACTCGTAAACAATCTTGGTTTCCCAAAAAATACTTCAAAAGTAAGGCTTCTTTCATCGACCTAATTATCAGAGAAACATCAATAACTCATGTCATTTCTACATCCTAATATATGTATTTATAGAGCCATTAAAATTCTTATCTGCAATGAGGTGCCAACAAGTTTCAAGTATGGTGTGCGATATATTCTGATAAAAACCTGGATTGTTTTAATAGCACTATGGGGGAATTGAAAGCTTGCCTAACTAGTCAACTTAAGTTGTTGATGATGTGCTTGACCCACTGAAAATGAATACTTAAAAAAATGGACGGGATCCTCTTTCGACAAACACACCGCAGAAATTTCCGGCTAGAGAGCACCAGTCTATATAAAGATCATAACGAAGGTGCTACAAAATGCACTGACCTGAGTTTGTATTCAGCACATCTAAAGCTTTTAAGGTCCAAAAAGGATTTTGGTTTGGGAAGCCTAGATAAGTATAGCTAACTTTAAAGTATAAAACAATTGGAAACGGTTTTTGATTAGACAGGCAGCACGAAGTCAGATATTTTGTCTTGTCTTCATTTGCTGACACTCCGTACCTCAGTATTGATTTCAAATGGTAATGCGCCAAGTTTCTATAGAAATCAGAAAACTCCAGAAAAAAATAGAGCACAGTACCACCGCGAAAACAAAAGACTGTATTGGTTGGAGCTTAAACTACACACATATCTATTAAGATAGAGATCTTTGTTATTGGTTATGGACTGAAATCAAGGGATGTCGAGATGACCCTAAGTTTCTTATCGCGACCCGCGGAACACTCCAGAAACGCTGTCATGTGTCATGATTGCCCGTTTTGTACGACTGATAAGCAAAGATTAGCGGCAGTCAAAAACAAACCAAACCAAAAAAAAAAATAATAATAATAGAAGAGCAATAAAGCAATTTAAAAGTCTGCGGTGCACTTGGGTCGTTGGGATCGAAGTGGCAGACTCCAAGTTTGAAGTCTACTTCTATTTTTCCGATAATATGAACTGTTATTGTCTGTAGTTTTCATTTCAACACTGAATTTTGTTTGTTAAGAAAGTAGCATTCTTGTGCCTTGAGCCTTATGAGATAAACGTCTTCTTACAATAGAAAGAAAAACTATAAAAAAAAAAACTAAAAAGAGAAGTTTCTGGAACCAGATTCTTATCGCATATAATTAAACCTTTTGCCGGCGAAATACTTATATAGCTGATCGTAAGTTAATTTTCGGTGTGCAAAATACATTCAAGAATTAGCATTTGATCAATTAAATAAGCGAGAAATTCTCGTTTTCCTAACAGTAAAACAGAACAGGAAATAACTTTTCACATGGAAATGCAAAAAACAAAAACAAAAAATAACTTATTAATATCACAGAAGCTTCAATAGTCCTTAACTTATATATAACCTTTCTCATTGCTGAAAAAGTGAATACTTGGAACAACAGAATTTAAACTTGGTAGGTTTTCGGATGGTTGCACCACTTTTACAGCCACCAAGCCTACGACTTCCAACCGCGAAAAGAAAACAAAGCACTTGTACTGTCTTTGTTTTTGTCTGCCTTTTGTTTTTTCGTGACGATCAATGGAAGACCCGCAACCTCTAGACGACAAGCGAAAAATGCTTTTCAACACTAAAATAAGTGAAACGTAACCCGAACTAAAGAAATTGTACAGGGTTATTTACATTCCGCCCACTCCTAATGCAAATCACAACAATTATACCTCCCGTCAGAACGACCCAGTAGAAAAAACTCGTGTGCCTGGCAAAGAAAAGGGGCAACGGACCAAGCTGCTACTGCGAATATGATGCTCACTGTTAAGACAGTTTTGGTGCTTCTGTCTGCTGTGTTTTCAGACGGCTTTGTGTGGGAGAAGACGAAGACAAAAGGAATATCTCCACAGTCAAGTAAGTTGGATTTTAAACTCTACCTAGGAATTTCCATTGTCGTGCAATGGACTATCTATTAAGGAAATGTATTTGATTCTCCCACACAGTTTTAACATCACAATTCTCAGTTCGTGTCTTTAAGACACGAACTTAAAGTAACTACGTTCCGACAAGAGCGAGACGATGTCAGCTTAAAGTCCGTTAACTCTACTTTGAAGTAAAAGTACATGTATGCGGTGGGATATTAAAAATGGCTTTCCTGTATACGTAAGGGCCCAGTTCTGTTAGAAAAAACTGGGAGTGTAAGATATCACAACGGCGAAGACAACGAAAAGATAACTAAAAATTGAATTCGCGTTCTTTAAAACTTCAATGCCATTATCCCATTTCGCTCACTTTGCCAAATGAATGCGACTCTACTCAAGTTGAATTCCTAAGAAAAATAGCCCAGTTCAAAACAGGAAAGAGAAAGTTGACGTTGTTTGTCTAATATGTTCTCGATAAACTACGTAAAATTAGGCATTTCAAGTCGTAGTCGTGCAGTGCATGACGGCAAAAAAATGTACCGAAAAGTGTGTCGCACATGCAAAGTTTTATTTTTATGAAACCTGTTGCTTTTTGACGGTTCTCGTTGCCGTCGCCATAATAAAATTATACAGCGGTTTAAATGAAATAATCTGCGTACCTCAAGATCCGTTTTTAAGAGCTCTTTATTCAGACATAGCAGTATGCGTTCTTGTTTCTTTTCATGGGAAGCAATGTTTAGATATTACGCTAGGACAAGTTGAAACGGCTCAGAACTTAAATTTGTATTAAAAGATAACCGGTCGAAGTTCTACTTTTTTTCATCATTATTTATTTATTTTTTGTTTCTCTGTGAGCAGATATGGTCTGCCACGTCCGTAAATTCAGTGTCAGACGATAATTTTCCTGTGGATTAGGGTTTCAATTAAGGCTAGAGATCTTTAATGATAACTGTAAAAAAAAATCAAAGAATTGAAAATGGAGAGATTTAGGTCGCAAATTGGAGATGGAAATTATCAGGGTTAAGTTTTAAGTTTCTTAGGAGCAATGTGTACATGAAAGGATGATCATATGGGAGAGGGTAGAAACTGTTTTACAGCTATACACACTACATTTGAGTAAACGTCAACTAGACCCAGCTATGTAAGACTTCAATGACAGTAATGCGGTCTATTAGATAGCACTTAGGAATTGCTAGAAGAATAGAAACCCCTAAGTCAACCTCAACGCCTACTTCCTGATGCACTGTGTTATAAAATTAACAGAATTAATCTTGTCTTGGCAGGATTTGATAGAGTGCCTAGAAAACAAGTAACCGCCAAGAAAATTGAACGGTTTTTTCTTCAAAGCGGAAGCCGAAGAAGACATCGAAGAAGTCTCGACCAAACCAAATATGACGTTGTTCTTGTGTTTGACGCTTCTAATTCAATTCGCAAACGCGACTTTGACCGAGGCGTTGAAGCTCTGAAGACTCTGATCAGCAAAGCAAGACCGGATACTCACTACGCAGCCATAACATTCTCGGATAAAGCCACGGTCTCTTTTGATTTCACCGATCCTTGGACAGCGAAACACTATCTGCGCAGTAGAGTAAATTTTATCGGCGACAAGACAAACACCCAAGAAGCATTCTTAAAATGCCGAACTGAACTCTTTCAGAACAAAAATTCCAAGCTTCGTCCAGGAGCTAAAAAGCGCGTTCTTCTACTCACTGATGGGAGCTCCAATGTAAACGTTCACTTCACCTTGTTTCGTGCATTTCAACTCAAAATGCTCGGCGTCGAAATGTTCGTAATTGGTGTTGGAAACTACATGCCTGGGATCCAGGAGCTGGTTGGTATTGCCAGCACTACAAATAGACACCTGTTTCGAGTTCGAAACACCATGTCACTATTGGACATTACTCGGCTTATTCCACCCTGGAGATACCTTCATCAACATCAGCGCCCCTGGGTTATGGAACGTTACCAATATGGTGAGGACATCAATACCTAAATAAGCACACTACGTAGAGTGGTAGGCAGCCAAACACTTAATTCCATCCAATAAAATGACGTTACGTTGGACACCTTGACATTTTTTTTTCCTTTTGAATTTGAAGAGACTTAAAAATTCCCAGTAATTTTAAATGTGAGGGAAAGACCAGTTTGGAGGATGCAAACGAGAGGTTGGCAAATTGTGTATATACAGTTAACGTCAAAGTGGCCACGCTGGTAAAGCAGCTGGAAAGCTTTTTTCCTATTGGCGCCGTGACGTCAAGAGAAAATTCATCCCGCTCCAGCCAGATACAGATAATTAACTAAACCAAGTGACTGACAGATGCAAAGCCAGCAAAAAAGGCCCAATTACGATAGGTTTGAGGCTTTTTTACCAGGCATAGGTTTCAGGCTTTTTTTTTTCACAATTAACTATCCCGAAAAAGGAAAGCTCGTCAACCCGACTTTTTCAAGTTTCAGTAAACTTTATTGTAATCCGTCCTCAGTTAAACACAGCTGAACACAGATACAAACACTTCTATTGGATGTTCAAGTGGAAGCAACTTTTGTCGAGTCGACACTTCCCCTTTAATAATCTGAACATCACAGGATTGATTCAGACAATAACTGAAAGCCCTCTTTCTAAGATGGTCACCATTAAGGAAGTGCCCGCCTTGCGGAGTTAGTCAAAGGAAATGACTGACGATCGGCAGTGGCCAACTCGAGGTGTTCCTCTTAGGTAGATATCCCCCTGTAGAGAGTCCGAGGGAAATGACTGGACAACGAGAGGGACCAACTCTAGGTGTCCCTGTAGACAGCTGTCCGCATTATAGACGGTGAAAGGGTGTCTAGGTGTGCGGTTAGGGGCGATGTCTGTTTTACCTGAGAGTCCAAAACGAGATAACTGACTGTATATAACTCTTACTAACAGGCTAAAGACCGAAGTGTGCTCGGGCGCCAAAAACCCAAAAACAACCGAAAACAAAACAAGCAAACAAACAAACAGAAAAAAAGTAGGTTCTGCTTCTTACAGTTCGGACAGATAAAACGGTTACGTAAAGATATGGGTTGTAAAGACCAGAGGTGGCATAGGGCGAATATAGATCCATTATTGTGGTGAACTTCTACTAAGAGATAAGTCGGCCTAAGTTACAAGTCTAAAAGTTGTTTGTACTCGACAGTAAGCCTAACCTGCGTAGCAGGCGCTTGGAAGTAGTGGGTGAAAGAGAGAACGGGCGCGCGCGAAGGAGACACGAGAGGCCAAGCGCCTGCTACGCAGGCTAAAGTAAGCCTGGTAGCTTTGCCTTAGCGGAGAAACAAGTTACAAAAGTAAGGTTTGCACACAAAGGTTTAATTACTGAAAGCATGACAGTCATAATGACAACCAAACGCAATTGCTTACTTACCAAAATTCTGTGAATTCTCAAAACGTCTGTTAAACCACTTACTAGTAATTACAAAAAAGTGAACTAAAAAGAAATCCCCAAAGCAATAGAACAGTTGAAAGACAAAGTTAGACTAAATAAGCACACTGCAATTCAAAACATGCTCCCACACGTAACCTTCTAAAACCCTGGACTGACAGTGCACCCTATTTCCGAACCCCCTACGTTTTAGTACGCTATCTTTGTTAACAAGTATACACTATAATAATTATGGCAACCTTGCTATCCAATCTAAAACAATGGTGACATCACCAGGGATATTACAAAGCTCTGACAAAGAAGACCCTAAAGTCAGCGAAGGCCCTCCCCAATGAGAATTAGCAATGAAGTACACTACAGCTAAAAAGTTCGAAGGAAAATCATGCGGAAATGCAAACCCATGAGAACTCCTTTTTAAGGGAGGCCTGTGGCAGACGTTCGGATAGAGGAAAGCGGCGCTAAGTAAGAGAGCGAGAAAAAAATAAAGAGGCCTCTTTGTGCGGTCCCCACGATCTGAACGCCTGGAACAGGGTATTTTAAGGGGTATTAAATGAGAAATGTTCAAGGACGAGTTAACGAACAAATAAAAGAAGAAGAAAAACAATAAAGGATCCGACGACTGAACGAGTCAAGCATTTTTGTTTCAATGGGACTACCGTAGATCCTCATTTGATGGGGGCTATTTAATTTAGCGAAGATGGTTGTATCGGGTCTCCATAAATACCTAGAATGCAAAGTGGAAGAACTCAAGTACAAGAAGTTGGAGGTGACGTAGCCGGTGAACAAAAACAAATCCGACCTTCTAACACGTGAATAAACGATCCGAGATCATTCCAAATGAAGATTCACAGTTGTGATTGATTAATACAGTCTATCATTTCTTAGAAAAGAGTAATAAGGGTGAGGGGAGAGGAGGGGAGGGGGCTTATTAACTTTCTATCCCTGAAAAAGGGGGCTTAATAGAGAATGTACAGTACTACAAGCGCATATAGTAGAACCCCCGTCACTCGAACTCTGAGGGGAAACGAAAAACACTTCGAGTAATCGGGGTAAATTTAAGTGAAATTTTGATCAAAATCTTGAGGTTCTTCTGTATTTTGCTTACTGGCTACTTCTCCATGAAACACGGAGTTTTTCAGGAAGGAATTCACTTAACAAGACGGCAATAAACAATGTTGGTGACGTGCAACGTGATATTTTTCTGAGGTCTAGAATATAGTGATACTGAAAGGTGGAAATTATCCTGTTACCGTGACTTGTCAATAATTCAGAGAAAGCACGCGAACTAAAACTTGCTATCCAGCACGTTATTAAAATAGTAAGACATAAATATAGGAGGATAATATTGTCGAGACATTTGGTCGCAAGTACCATTTCAAAGAAGAGAGCTTCACTAATTTACCACTGCTCGCGAGACTAATCTTGTTAACCAAGGGTATTGAAAATAAAATGCGTCGCTTTGCTCCAGTTGTTCGCTTCAATGCATGAATAATCTTCAACGACATGAAATTAAACGATAAGGGAATTAATTAACATTTGACGGTTAGTAACGAACAAATCTGACAAATAAACATAATAATAAGATTATGACAAAAAAACGTCCTTTCCGAAAAAGATGTTTAAGAACCTTAACATGTGGCTTATCGTTTAAAATGTCAGGGAGGGCAGTATTCCGGGGGGGGGAAGGTTAATCTTGGTGGGAGTGTATAGCGCCCGGTTTCCCCAATCCTGACGCTATTTCAGACCAGAAAACTGGCCTCTAAATTCCAGACCCGTTTTCAGGCCTGAAATTACTTAGATTAGACGCCAGCAAAAAGATTTCTTAAAATCCATTTTCGAATTCCCATGTTATCATTCTTTCTAATTCATTTGGAACTGAAATGGCAAATACGCCCATAATGCACTCTCGTACTTCCCTCAAAAACTAATTACCAGATTCCAGACCTAAATGAACAAAGTGTATAACCCTTTTCAGACCGAAACGGCGCCAAAATCTTACCCTTTGGGGCGGTACATACCTATATGTCTTAGATATGGAGTACAACCTCCCGTCCCCCCAGGACAGTATTGCAATGATGGGTTGATAGGGTAATTTTCGCAGTACATAAGGTTAATTGCAGCCAGAACCGCTTGAGCGTCGAAGTTCAATATAATCCTGATAGGAAGAAAGGCAATCAATTAAGGGGAAAAGGAATGTTTTACAGCAAAAAGTCAAAAGGAATCAAGTGGCTGCATCATTAACCTGTAGATTTTTACGATTTTAAGCTTTCTTGTTTTAAATGAAATCCTTTGCCATTACGTAATACAACATATGTATGAGCTCCTCGAGAATGTAACCTTCAAAGCCTTAAATCAATTTAGGTTTTGCAAAGGGACGTGAGGTTTGAATTTTATCAGTTTTAAAGTTTAAGTCTGTAGAAACTGCTACTGATGCGAAGCAAGTTATAGACCATAATCACAGTCATATCACGACAAGTAAAAACCTGGTGAAATGAACAGCCGTGAAAACAATGAAGCAAATCAAATTAAACTGACGACTTCAAACGAAAGCATAGGTGCAACATATAGAGGTGAGCTGTTGCCGAAAAAATTACTAATCAAATTAAACAATTTAACCTAAAATGCAAGCGAAGTATAAAATTTCTTTAAGACAAGTGATATTTGCCTCGGTGATATGATGACAAGGCAGTTATAAATGCTATAAAACTGATATAAACAAAAAGTGCAGGAAAACAATGAAATACATCCAGGAATTTTCCTTTGATATAAACAAACAACAAGGATCGAAAATTCTAGAAAGGCTTTGGTGCCGAGATAACAAGAAAAACGGTATTGGTTGCTATAGGTACCTTAATATGCGAACGACAAAGGTTTATGTTGAAAAGTGAAGAGCACTGGAACTTTTCTGCAGAATAAAGCCAATACGGTACAACAGAGATAGAAAACGAAACATGAAAGTGTTGTGTGGCCTTTCTAAGTAAGCTCCGGAAATTTCTCTGTCACTGGTTTTAACAAACATCCGCTTCTCTTGGGAGTCTGTTCAACAGTATTTTATTCCCGAATTAAATAGGACTCTCCTTTTCTCGAAAGTTTGTCTTTCCTTTTCCTTCGAAGAGGTCAAATTCGAGATAGTGCCAATTACCTGTATTCTTTCAGCACTTTAAAAGACGTTTTTATCTTTATCTTTTCTCGAGTAATTTGGACGCTCTACACACTACAGAACGGATACCGGCTTCACATAAACGGACACCTAGAATTGGTCTCCATGGTTCTTTAGTCATTTTCTTTTATCTCTATAAGATTGAATTTTAGGGCAACTTTACGATTACTGACTGTATTTGAATGTCGAATTTGTTTTAATCATCTTATTTCAGCTGGTACGCGAAGGTCACACGGATATGCACTTTGACTGAAGTCTACTCTCGAAAATTCTGAGAAAGGAAGTTTGTAAAAACTTACTGAAGCAGATCGTCAGCCTAACTCCTGCCATGTGTCATAGCTCGAAAATCCAGACCATTGTTTAACACCCCCTAGGTCTCCTCAATACGTTTTACTATAAACATAATTGGTTCCAGAAGTGTCGACAGAAACGATAAAAGGCTTTGCGTAAATCACAAGGAGATAAATTGATTGAACCTCAAGTATTCGGCCATACCACTGAAGACACCTCCAATTCACTAACAGGCTAAATAGTCTTGGAACACAGCCTCGAAATGTGGAGGACACTGTTGCATGTGACAGTTATGTTCGTTTTATGGTGGGAGTGTTCCGGCTTTATCTGGGAGCGGAACAAGATCGTAAGCTCGGATCCAGGGGAAAGTAAGTGATGCCTTCAGAACTGACAGCGCCCAAATACACAAGTTGAGACAAAACTCGAGTTTCCTTCTTACATTACTTTTAGTTTTAGAGGAAAAAAGTAGAACACAAAAGTATCAACAGACGTTAACTAAGAAATGAACGAATTTCCCTATAGGATTTCTTTTGGTTACAGGTCCAAATGTTGAAGCCACCTAAACCTTTTCAGGTCTTCATGCTTTCAAAAATTTTCAGATTTAGAGACTACCTCTGATTCTCTCTCTAAGGTTCGGTTTTAACAAGTGATAACTCACACTTGTTGTTTTTTTCAATAATTCAGCCGTAAAGTTAGGTAGCCCTAGTAGCATGGCGGTTTTGGTTAGGCGCGCAAAGTAAATAACGGCGGGCGAGGGCAGAGAAACAGTGAGGACGTTCGCCCGGGTTTTGCGCGCGTTTTTGCGGCTTTGCCGCTCAGTCGTGCTCCCGACAAAACTGCCATGCTACGCAGGCTAAAAGTTAGGTTTCTAAAAAAGCAAACGGACGTTTTCTGATAGCTTTCAGTCATTGCAGCACTGATATTCGTTAGAAAAGCTTCACAGCGGCTTCAAGCAGCGATAATACAAACGGGCTAGGTTTTGCAATTAAAATTAAGACACTGCAGACAAGACCAAACACGACGTAGGTACATTGACCTTAAAAATAGAATTCAAAAAGGACTTAGCATATCTTTTGTTAGCTGTTTGGATAAACAAAGTTTTGTTTTGTCGAAGCTTGACCCAGCATGCTAGCTATTAAGACCAACAAAACTATTCAATTAAACTCGCTTAAAGAGAAAACCAACTGAGTGTAATAAACACAGACAAAAATCTTGGCAGGTTGTAAAATTATCTCTACTGAATACCTTTTCATTTTAATGAAAACAAAAACAGACTCCATGGTGACATCTTTAGAGTTCAATGATAAAATACTTAGGACATTTCAAACATAGCTTCTCGACTAAGAGTCAGAGTACAAGTTTAGGAGTCTCACTAAAGGGTTAAAATTAAATAATAATAAAAAAACGCTGTTTTGTGCTTTCTGTTGGTAATGTTTAATAGTTTTGTACAAGATGCTTTAAAGTTGTGAAGTAGCTATTTCTTCTGCAAATTTTCGCCTTCGATTTTGCTGCCAGCACAGCTCAGCCGGATCTAAACTAGAGTTTGAGTCTGCTGTTAGAAAAATCCTTACGTCCTGACTGTTATAGTGGTCACTTTAAAGAAAGACTGAAGCTGCTGCTGAGATCCTGAAGTGTGTAGTGTGTTCTCTCATATGAAAGCTACTGAGTACCTATTCCTACGGAGCTGTTTATCACGTACATTGAAATTATTTCTCTTATCTTTGCACGAGTCATGCACTCTTAAGTCTTCATACAAAACGCTTTCCGCCCTTCCTTACCTCTTCCTTTCACTCCCAATGGTGGCCAAAGTAAAACAAAAAAAAATCGCAAAAATCCCAAATTCCATTTTCAAATTGCCGAAAGACAAATATTAACATGTGAAAGAACTGCTGGAGGGATTTAGTTTGAATGGTCACACCAAATGATTTCATCCACAGACTCAAAAGTTACTGAGAACCACATACTAAATAAATAGCACCACTACTGCTGAAGATGTTTTATTTCAATAGTCACACCGTTGGATTTCATCCAAAGATACAAAAGTTAGAACTAAATACTGAATAAATAGTACCATGTGAAAGTATTGCTGGAGAGCTTTCATTTGAATGGTAATACCATAGGATTTCATCCAGAGACTCAAAAGTTAGAACTACATACTAAATAAATAGTACCATGTGAAAGTACTGCTGAAGAGGTTTCATTTGAATGGTCACACCATAGGATTTCATCCACAGACTCAAAAGTTAGAACTACATACTAAATAAATAGTACCATGTGAAAGTATTGCTGGAGAGCTTTCATTTGAATGGTAATACCATAGGATTTCATCCACAAACTCAAAAGTTAGAACTACACACTAAATAAATAGTACCATGTGAAAGTGCTGCTGAAGAGCTTTGATTTGAATGGTAACACCATAGGATTTCATCCACAGACTCAAAAGTTAGAACTACACACTAAATAAATAGCACCACGTGAAAGTACTGCTGATGAGGTTTCATTTGAATGGTAACACCATAGGATTTCATCCACAGACTCAGGAGTTAGAACCACCTGACGAGGCCCCATCATTCACTCTAGGTGTGAAATGGATACTGAACTTTATTGCTGGTTTCTGAATCCTTACTTGTGTTTACGAGAGGTTTTTTTTTTTTATCAACAAAAAAGAAAAACAGAAGGCAATCTTGTTAAGATAGCTTCCAGCTCTTAAACAGTGTGTTGTAATGTTAGACGATTTAACCAAATCTCATCACTTGACAGGATTTCAGAAAATTCCACCTGCTCAAGTCACAGCCGACAAGTTAATGCGGTTCTTCTTTGGCATAGATCACAGAGTCATTCGACAACTACGTAGAAGACATCGCAGGTCTGCGGACATACCGACCCAGTCATTTGCACAGTTCGATGCGATCTTCATTATAGACTCCTCAGCATCGATACGGCCTCAAGACTACAAAAATACGCTACGGGCTCTGCAGCTACTTACAGGAAAGGCAGACAGAGACAGACGCTACGCGGCCATTACATTCTCATACAACGCCACGGTCCGTTTTAATTTCACCACGCGCCGTGACACCGTATACAAACTACGCAAGATACCTTTCGAAGCAGGGAAAACGAATACTCAAGATGCTCTCGATATTTGTCGAAGGGAGCTCATATTAAACAGCAAATGCGGCGGTCGGCCTGGGGTAAGAAAGCGTGTTTTAATAGTAACTGACGGACAGTCCAATGTGGATAAAGAAAAAACGCTGTATCGCGCGTTGCAGATCAAAGCTACGGGCACACAAATCTTCGTGATAGCCGTTGGCCGCTACCTCAGAGGTATGTCGGAGATCGTGGGCCTGGCGAGCTCCACCGACGCCCACCTTTATCGCGTGCGTGATGTTCATGGGCTGATGCGAGTGGTAAGGTTGATTCCGCCATGGCACATCATGAGAGAGTACTTACATCACTCTTGGCTGAACGGCATGTTAGCACGCCCAGTTACACACTGAAAGAGTACCCGGTGTTTCGGATTACAGAGCTTACAGAGCCTTGGCAATAGCAACGACACCTCAAAAAATAACAATTCGCTGATTAATCGTCCGAAAGCATCATGTAGACTGAACAGCGAGTTTATAAGTCTTGGCAAGAGTGGTACTGAGTCAGTGTTTCATCCGAGAATAGACTAATTGATTGGTATAATTGGTAAAAAAAAATAGGTCCCTGCAGTAGTTTGCACTCGCTTAAGAACGATTTCAACGTAAAACTACTTTGACTTTAAGGATTGATGATACGTTTCTCATTTATACGAATTCCCAAACACTGCTTAGAACAGTTTTTGAAAAGACCTTGAGAAAAGAGCGTTCAGTATAGAATGAAAATATTAGTATAAAAGGTTAATTTACGGGCACCTTGAAACGAAATAAGCACTAACGAGCACTAACTAACCGTAAACTGAATGGTCACCATATAGAAAATCACAGAACCTTTCGAGCCCCAACCCCCACCCCCCTGGGGCTACTCAACTAATTTTATACGGGGAGGGTCCCCCGCAATGTCCAACCCCCTACCTTTTTGTATACCATTTTTGAGAGGAAAGGTACCCCTTTCACACAAAATGTTTTTGCTTCAAGAACAAACGAAAAATATTTGGCCTTTTTAATACATTAGAGGCTTTAAATAGGAAATTCAACTATGCTTTAATACAATCCTCCGCTACTACATTTACATATCCAAATTAAGTCAAGTTCGACCGTCCCCAAATTTTGTAAATAAAATCAATCTCAGGTACCGAAAGGAATTCAGATTATAAATAAGCTGTGTTCTCTGTTCCTTAGACGAAAATAGATTGAATATTTAGTTCAGTTTACGCTTTAGTTCATTAATATCCTATGTAACATATTTATATGTCACCGCGTGTACCCTCCTTTCTCTCTCGCTCTCTCTTTTTTTCTTTTTCCTTCTTTAGTATTCTTGTTATCACCTCTCAATGCAAATGTGACACAAGTAATACATCACAAACAAAGCAAACTGGTAAGAGGATTACCAGTGTTTCATTTCTCATGTTTTAGCGGACAATCCGCGATCACGGCATGAGCATGCATGTATGTATACAGTATATTAAAGGTCAAACATTACCACTTTATCCATTCATAAAAATCAAATTAGTTTTGCCTACAGTTCATTAAGCAATTAGTGGTATTTGACTACTAAACAAGGTTATTGTAAAACTTTTTTTTTTAATGACAAAATTTCACCTAGGATGATTGACTCTTTTTAGCGCTCACTGATTTGAGGTAAATTGGTGCAATTCTGAAGCGCACATGAGGCTATGAATCAAAGTAAGCGATAAGAATTGGTCTTAGAACAGTCAGAAAAATAATCGTCTGTTGTTCGGCACTGCACAATCAATCTTAACTGAACAGCAAGCTCGGCTATATTTTCGCATTTGGCCGATGGATATTTTTTATTCTTACGCTTAAAAATAAGAGAAAAATTCCAACGAACCAAGCAACGTGTGCTGCGATAAAATCCAGGCTGTGTAAGCGTTAACTGAAGTTTAGCAATAGAATATTCGACTTGACAGAAGAAGTATTTCTGGAAGGCAACGATTAAGCTTATCCAGCTGTGTGCCCCCTTTAAAAAGAAAAGGACTTGTTCCGATCTGTTCTCTCCCTTCCCTTATTTTGAAAAACATAAAATCTGATCGCTAGATATCATATTTAATTTGCGGGCTAAAAGCATTTTCAGCACTTCAAACACGTGTAGTTTAAGTAGTAATAATATATATTGTGAGGAAGGACCACTACTTTTAGGTCTTTTTTACTGTTTCTCCACTAGAGGCACGGATCAGTTAAATAGGATTAACCACTATGTAGCATATGTTTCCATGTTATTGTAATCTTAAATTTGCACCGTTGTGCTATACTGAAAGTTTAAGTGTTGGAAGAAATCACTAGAGGGAAACAAGAATTTGCCCATCAGGTCTAAAAATTCATCCGCCTGTTTGCACCATTCTAGAGTTGCACTTACGCCCAACGTCCAGGATGTATTAGTCACGAGAGAAGGACTTTCTATCAACACCGAAAAAAGCACCTTAAAACATCGAAGAGTTCATAAATGTATAAAGCTGTAGCACTTGTTCCTATCTGTTCTCTCCCGTCCCTTTTTTATGAAAAACATAAAACCTGATCGCTAAATATCATGTTAAATTTGCGCGCTAAAAGCATTTTCAGCACTTCAAACACGTGTTCTAAGTTTATTAAAGTAGTAATAATATATATTGTGAGGAGGGACCACCACTATTAGGTCTCTCGCTTACTGTTTCCGCCCCTACTAAGACACGGCTCAGTTAAATAGGATTAACCGCTATGTAGCATATGTTTCCATTTTACTGCATTCTCATATTTGCACCGTTGTGCTATACTGAAAGTTTAAGTGTTGGAAGAAATCCCAAGAAGGAAACTAGAATTTGCCCATCAGGTCTAGAAATTCATCCGCCTGTTTGCACCATTCTAGAGTTGCACTTACGCCCAACTTCCAGGGTGTATTAATCACGAGAGACCGACTTCTATCAACACCGAAAAAAGCACCTGAAAACATTCAAGAGTACATAAACGTATAATGCTTTGGGGCAGACAAAAATAAAGATTCTGAAAAGACTACCCAACAAAAAATATCTTCTCCAAAAACCCTTCGACATCTTTAAGGAGACATTTCTTAATTTTTCATCCTCCAAAAAGTTGCATATTCATGGAAACGATGCTTGGGCGTTGTAACGTGTTTCTCTCAAAACGATAGTTTGTGATCATGGGTTTGTCACTGCATCAGGCAAGTGTTTTTCTCTGAAAGTAAATTCTTCTACTACATGCATCGGGTTGTTGTATTTAGGTTGTTGTGTGGTTAAGTACTAAAGGTACTGACTGATCGTAATTTAAGACAATAAAACAAAAAATAAGGAAATATAAAAAGGAGTTAGATTGATGACACCATTCTTTTGAAAAAAATAAATTAGGAAGTATGGTTAGAAATGGCATGTATGCAGGTAGCCAAAACAGGATTAGTTTACATTAGCAACAACCTTTGGTGGAAACGTCTAGCATTTAAGTGTTTCACGTTTAGAGGAAAAAAGATAATTATAGCTAGGTTAACTTGACATTAAAATTAGGCCGGATATAGTGACTTCAAAACAAGAAAAATAACATCACGAGACTTCTGGTTCTATCGGTGTCCATGTATTCAGTAATCTTAAGCGTGAAGATATGGACAGTTTTTCATGTGCGTTTTCGTTTGGTCAAATGTCATCTAGATCCCCTAACGCAACGATATAACTACTAACTTCTCACTTGGGGCAAAATGTTGGGCTATGGTTGCAGTTTCCAGAATCTTATACTAATCCGATCTTTTTGAAGACGATGACAAACAAAGAACGTCAAGTATCACAAGTTGAACTACTTGGCAACACAAGTGGCTTTGCTGTTTAAAGACTGATCTACAGTTCCTGTCGGTTTGCCAAGAGGAAACGCTTTAAGTGGAAACTTTAAACTTGTTCAGTTACTTTGAATTTAGCTATGTAAATTGTAGGCCGGAAAGTTCTATTTATACAAGAGTGCAATGTGAGATATAAGACCCGCCGAAATGTTGGTACCAACAGGGTGTTGATTTTTGAAAAGGTACACGCCCTGGAAAAAATGTCAAAAACGTAGAAATGAAACATGCTAGATGAAAATTTACGACATAGCTTTTTGGTGAATATTTCTCAGTATGTATATAATAAAGATAGTTATACTGGCAATAACCTACCATTAATTTCACCTTGATTCCTTGAGGCCCACATACATGTAGTATACTTGGGCTGGCTGCAGTGTTTGGTGCATTTCGTTCACACAACACCTACCTCGATAACACTAAACACTTCATTTTTTGGCTTTGTAACATAAAACAGTTAACACTAACAGCAGAAAAATCTTTGAAACAGTAAATTTTTTCCAGAAAGAAGCAAAAACAGCTCCAAAAAGGCCAATATTATTTTGCTTAATATATCCAGGAGTTTTCGGCCATTTTACGACAATGTATTTCAGAAGACTTCCGAAGGCTACCGAAGATTTCCGAAGACTAACGAAGAGGTCCAGCCATTACCGAAGATGTCCGAAGAACCGTCCAATCACATAACAGGACTTTCTTCGGAAACAGCAAACATTAGAAAATTGGCCAATCTAACAGCAAACACTAAAAATTATGGGCAAATAACACTAAACGCTAAACCCCATTCAGACGCTCTTTATACCTTGCAAATAGAAGTTTCGCCGCCAATTATAAAGCCCTACCTTTTACTGCTGTTTTCCAGATCTCTGTATATCTACTTCTCATTTTGAAAGAGAAAGGAACTTGCACGCCAAAAAAAAAAACAGTGCCTCCCATCACAACCAGTTTCTACCCCTGATCGAAAGCCACGGTTGTAAAATAATGTAAAGTAAAAGTTTCTCACCTCTTTTCCATGTTTCGAGTCCTGAGAGATGAGACGAGATCCAAACATACTGCCAACACCGTCCGCCCTCATCACGTGTTTTGTAACCAGATTTACAAAATGGGAAAACAAAGTCTTCCATAATACCATTAACGAAGTCTCCACAAAAGGTCTGGCCAAGAGGAAACAAAATGCAACTTGAATAGTTCTATACTTGTGAAAGACTAACAGTAAAACTTCGAATAAAACCGCATTTACTCTAGCAAGTTTTTTTTATCCATTTATTATTATTACTATTATTAGTGTGAATAGATCGAAACGCGGGTTTTCAATGACAGGGAGAAATGATGGAGCTTTCAAACTTCGCAGGGTAGAAAACACCGAACGTTTGACAATTTTCATGATAGGTAACAATCAGTGCTTGAAATAATTTCCCTGTAGGCGCAACTCCAGTTGTCCGGCGGGCGCGGCAAATCCTACTTTTGTTCGGACACAACCGGTTTTTGGCAGCGACAAGACAAAAAATGTCCAGTTATCCAAGGATCGGGCAAAGGCTATTTTTGACCGGACATTGTCCGTTGACCGGCCGTTATTACAACCCCTAAAATTACAAAGGGCAACGCTGAGGACAATTTAAAATTAAACTACGGGTGTCGTCTTACCTCATCTCTTTCTCTGACCTACAGGGAACACTTTCTGTAAACACTCGGTCTGGAATGAGGCAGCCGGTAGGGGAACTGGATACCACCAGTGGTAACTCTTCCAACACAATCATGCTGACCGTGTTTGGGTCAAAAGACTGGAGACTACTGCCCATCTCGGCGGCTCTTCAAATATGAAGACAGGTAATCCGTGAGTCGATAAACATAGGAATAAAAAAATGTCCAAGAACTAAAAACTTATTCCCAAGAAAAATTATTACCTTGTAATCTCCTGTCGCAGGTCTGAACTGCAATGGGCAGAGCGGTACAAAGCCTCCGGGCTAAACGACACCTCCACATCAGCATCAACAGTCTGAAGAAGAGCCAAAAATCCGTCTACATCTACGGATGGCTTTTTGTCCTCTGCCGCCTTCTGCGGGGTTCTACTGCTTCCATCTTTCAGCAATGACTCACGTTCGTCTTTTTCCGCTTCAGGTTCGAGTACATTCTCACTTGTAACCTTTCCTTTTCCATCTTCATCACTCCTGACATCCTGCGCCTTTGGTGAATCTGAAAAGCTAATTTCCGCATCATTCTTTGGCAATATTTTACTCGCTTCATCATGAACAAGATCATCATGACCCTCGCTGTCGTCCAAAGGCGCAGTGTCCACGATTTCCTCACTAATCTCTTCAGTAAAGCTCTTTGATCTCTCGGGCACAATGTTAGGTTTGCTGGGTTCAGCAGGAACATCGGGATCCTTGCGACCTAACCTCTCTTCAGCCTGCTCTCTACTAAGTCTTCGATCCCCCTGAAGAACAGAGGGAACATATGGTTCATTCCCATCAGGTAGACTGAGATCACTCAAATCCAAACTTTCATCGTCATCACTTTGCTCCGCCTGTTCTAATTCATTCGCATCTAGAATGGGTGGAGCATGTTTTTCAGCGTCAGATTCCCTTGGAATTACAACATCTGATTCAACCCGCTCTGGACTTCCTTTCGACACGTCCTCTGAAATGCCTTCAGGTATAGCTGCCCGTGACGCCTTCACTCTTGTTGGTTCCTCAGGTTTTGCTTCAAGTTCTCTTAACTCTTCCGTCTTTTCTTTTCCAAGACCCTGACCTTTCACTACACTTTCCGGACTGCTTTCTTTTTTGTCTTTGATCTCTTCTCTTGTAACACTTTGACGTTGTCCAGGCCGTGTCGCATTCATGTCTTCGTGGGCTTTTTCAGGACGAACATCATTGCTTTCCGCAGATGTCTCCATGACGGTGGACGAAAGCGAAGGTTCTGGGAAACTTGACGTCGGAATGTTTCTCTCCAAAGGTTTCTCCGGGGGTTCGATTGGTTCATTAGCTAAGGGACGTTGATTCAAATCCTGGGTAGGATCGTGACCGCTTGTCATGGCAAGTCTGGTGTGAAGACTACCCTCGTACTTCTTCAAAAAGAGAAAAGATGATGCGAATTAATACTAGTACAGTGTATGAATGGACTATACTCGAAAAAAAACTTCCCAGTTCTCACAAAATGGAGCCCATACTGTCGTCCATGAGCTCTCAATAGCTCAGTTATACAGTCTCTCTACCACTGAGCTATAAGAGAAGCCCGTGGGAACCCAGTACTCCAATAGTAAAACGTACAAAAAGGTTACTGCGAGATGCGAATGACGTCGATCGCTAATCGATTCTTGACGTACATATACCTGTCATTGCGCAGTCTTAGAACGCACGATTCCTTAAAAACGTTCACGTACTTGTATTACATAGGTATCATTGATGCTTTAAAAGTCTCATGTGATTTGCAAAGCTTAAGTCATCAAAAATCACAAAGGTATAAAGTATGTCTAGTTCTCGGAGAAAACTAGTCTGACAAAAAGTTCGAGACGACTGACAGGCGTTCTAGAATTGTCTGGTACATTAGTGAGACCAAGCAACAACGACGCGACGGCTACGTGTAAACGTCACTTAAAAAGTGACGCTGCTTCAAACTTTATCACCCTTATTCCATCGCGTTTAATTTGTCAAATGTTGGCAATTTTTTCTGCAGTTGAATTCTAAAAGACTGTATCGAAGTCCAGAAAAAGAAAAAGAAAGTCGTTGTCTTGTGTTCACGTCCTCCACAATTAAAACGTGAAATTAGGCATTTTCACGTCGTAATCGTGCAGTGACGGTAAAGACATGTACAAAAAAACGTGATGCACGTGCAGCTGAGTTGTTTTTCTAAACTAAACCTTTTGCTTTTTTGACGTTCTCGTTGACGTCGCCGTCGTCGTTGCTAAGCTCCCTGTAGAGTGTTTTCACTCACGTGGCCAGCATCTATGCAAATTTGTTGCCACAAAACAAAGCGTTTGCATGAAAAAAGAGTTCAACTCCCAGAGGATTGGTTTGGAACACCAACATGGCCGCCGTTTCATTGTTTTGGGACGCCAATATGGCTGCCGTGACGTCATGTGAAAACACTCTATTAGGGACCTTACGAAACTACGACGGCGACGGCGACGGGAACGTCAAAAAAGCAATAGATTAAGAGCAAAACAACAACTCTGCACGTGCATCACGCTTTTTTGTAAATTTCGTCGCCTTGTCCGTGTATATTAAACTACGACGTGGAAGGTCCAAATTTTAAGTTTACTTGAGAATGGAAAGCCTTAAATAAATAAATTCTACCATCTCTGTCTGAACTCGGACGCGGTCCCCTCTCCTCAGCTCCAACCTAAGTTCCCTTTTTTAAGTAACTGAACGACTTGGGATAATTATGGCGAAAAAGTTTGAAAAGATGCGAAGTCTATTATTCAGCGACGTTTCAACGGATCTCGCCGTTGTCGAAACGTAAGGTCCCTATTATCATCCACGTACAACATTACCTTGAACAAGACCCCGTACCTTGTCAACAAGAGTTTCATCTCTTCCACCGATGTTGCTTTCATTTCTCTGTGACTCAAATTCCGGTGATCTCTGATTGCCATGGTACCTAACCTGCCAACCATCATAGTATTGTCCTCCATGTCTACTCTGATCAAAGGCTCCTCTCTCCCCTCCATGTGCGTGGTAGCCTCTCTGTAGCTCTGTCCTTGGTTCATAAGGTGTGGCTGTTCCGGAGCCCTGCCGCTGTCCATAAGGAACTTCAGCAGACCTGTACCTTGTGTCAGGTGCATAACTCCTAGGACCTTCACCGACAGGTTGACGCCCATCATAAAATACCTGGTCCGGCGGCGAAAAGTAACGATCTGGCGGCCTATGGTAAGAAGCATCGAACTCTCTACTACTTGGCACAAATTGAGTTTGATATGTTCTCTGGTTGTCATGGAAACTAGAGGGTTGCCACCTTCCATCAGTTTGCTGTGGATATCTTGACTGTAGTACACCTCCTTCATGTAGACGAGATGAATCAAAAGGCCTTTCACGATAAGAGAAGTCATTATAAGGATCCTGTAAAGGACTCCTCTGTAAATGTAGATTGCCTGACGGATGATACATTCCTGGTGGAGATCTATGTTGTGTTAAGCTTGCACTACCATCATATGCCGGCAGTGGATTGGTAGCGATAGTAGGTGTACTTGTAAAGTGACTATTCCCACTGTATTGTGGTACAGCCCCAGACCTTGTAGCAGAGAAACCAGAAGTCTGTAAAAATAGATATTATTTGGCACTAAGCCTAGCGAGCATCATAACAGTCTTGTTCTTTTATTTCAGTAACAAATACATGAACATCACGCTGAAGTTTCAACCACTGTTTGTTGAAACAACAACGGAAATAGACCTTGTCACGGTTTTGGTAGCCATCTTGTTGGGTAGGCAACCGCGTGAGAAATAACAGTGTTTGCATGCGAACCTAATGTCGAATAATTTTCGTAAAACAGCTGTCCTGAAGAAAGTAGGAATTGTACACTTAAGTTACAAAGCAAAGGATTCTACTAACAAATTTTGAGGGCCGTACTAGTGCTTAAGTTTCCCTAGTCACTTGCTTTAGATTTTCCACATTTTGTCTGCAATTTTTCCCAGGAAATTTTAGTCAGCTGCAGAAAAATTTTCACAAACAAAAGTATAGAAAATTTCAAAACTAACGCAGGTAACGCCCTTAATTATTTTTTCATTTTAGAATCCTTAGGAGTGAAGTTGTAGCTCACAATTCATTTTTTTCCAGTACAGCTGCTTTACGGAAATTACTTGACATTAATTCCCATACAAACACTGTAATTTCTCACATGGTTACCTACCCATCATGATGGCTTCCAAAACAGTGATAGTTATAGATATCTTTGCTTTGCCTCTATGGAGATTGACGAAACTGCACAAAATAAGTTTATCCTGGGTTTGACTGATGTTAGATAAACCAAAATTACAGCATACAGTGGTGTTTAACTTTGAATTAAAGTTGTTGACATAAACATAGGCAATTTAGTAGCATATCTAGTTTGATCTGATTAAGATAATCATTACCCTAGATACCTCATAGCTGCAGATTAATTCGGAAACTACCAGTTAGTTAAGTACATTGTAATTATTTCACCACAGTGAAAAGGAACTGAAACTATACGTGTAGGAGAACAAGAGAGAAAAGATCCAGTACTGTAGATTATATCAAGTAAATCGTCATGCCACTTTAATGAAAGAAATTTCCCCTGAGTAGTAAGCCTCCTGAGTAATTCAATGCTTTGGTAAATAATATGCTACTGGGCCCGGTTCCTCAAAAGATGTTTAAGTTTAACCAGGATTAAGACCAAATTTCAAGCACGGTTTTCTTGTCTAAGAACATGCAACTCGAGGTCACAAAATAATGTTGAGCCTTTACTACAAGATACTGTAATGATAACACAAAATGTTACCTTAAGCACTGCATATTAGAATGTGTAATACGAAAACAGACCAAAATTTTAATCCTGGATTAACGCTCATCGACCTTTCAGGAACTGGGCCCAGACTTATAACTAAACTTATTACCAGAATTTTCCATAGCAATATTGCATCTCGTAAAATGACATATAAATTTATATATTATGCCAAAATAGACAACCGACAATTTGACTACCACATCGACTGTTAAATTGTGACAATAGATGTATCGAAACACACCAATGACATTTCGAGCTTTCATCACCAATAACATCACGGCTTAACTGACAGAAGACCATTAACATCTCAACTTAAATGACCAATCAGGTAAGTTAAACCAGAGTTTAATACCATAACCTGACATGATACAACTCACTTCGACTCTGAAGATGACTACTGCACAGGTTATCAAAATGTCAGTCACTGTCAACAATGGTCCTATTCAGGACTACATTCTCTGGCACAATAATGCTCAACCTGCTTATATTATGCCAAGTATTAATAGTACCAAAATCACCGCGCAATATTTATTTGACCAAATAACTTACACTTGTCAGGCCATTCCTGTCCTGCTGTTGTTTCAGTCTATAGCTCTCCAGTTCTTCTCTCCATCGAGGGTACATCTTATTGATATAATTCTCATATTGTTCCTGTAACATCACACAACAGATGTTTCAATATTAAATAGACCTTTTCAGTTTGCATGTTTTGCTTTCTCATTTCAGATCAAGTGATGTTCTCACTGAAGTTTGTCTTCTGTCTTTTCAGAAAATAGGCATACATGTATGTTAAGGAACACATTTATAAAAAAAATTCTCTGAGGTAACATCACATGCTGTAAAATGGGAAAACAAATATACCAGTAAAAGATGAAAAGGTTTATTGAATTATTCGATTTGTTGTTGTTGTTGTTGTTTTAATAATTCATACAATTTGCTAAAAATGCCCTGTTCACAGAAACATGTCGAACAATAAATCAAGATGTAATGCTGTAAAACTGGGAAGTTGTTTAATAAAATTTAAATCCTATAATAATATGTAATACATGATTAGGTTCATGTAATTTCATATGTAGAACTGATATTACCTTGTAAGACTTAAGCCTATCTGATTTAACAGCTAGCATAGCAGCATGTCTCTCCACTCTTTCAAAGTCTTTAAGCAGCTCTCTATTTCTTTCTTTACTCCTTTTTTCATTTTCACAGATTTTTTTCCACTGCATTTCCAGTCGTTCTGCTTCCAATTTGCTTCTAAAATGTAATAAATAATTATCTAATAGTTACATGTAAGCAACCAATTTTTTCTGTGACTATACCTTCCTAAAAGGGTCAAATAATTGTTGATACAGAAATATCAATAATTTACGTTCCATCTTTTATAAACCATTTTAAACATTTACCCGGCAAAAGGGTATGGAAAAACTTCCTGGCCTGTTGGAGATATCTTTGTATTTTATGCTGCCTCGTAGTGTGAAGGTATCTTAGATACAAGTACAGCTGTAGAATGGGGTATTATTAACCTATTCCCAGTAAAATCTTCTGTGTCTTGCCGTGAGCTGATTCTTAAAAGTGACCAGAGATCAATATAAGGTTCTGGGAAACTTCCCATCCACCCCCTACCACTACCCCTTAACCCAATGACTGAACACCAACGTGTACCGCCATTTTTATTTTCTACATGTACTTTTTGTCAGTTACTGTGGTTATAAGATATGACATCATAAGAAGCAGGTGGTCAAGCCTTTTTTGAGTGAAAATGCATGTATTTTCAACTCCTCTCAACAATAAAAGTAAAGCTTGTGGATAAAATGATGCAGAGTGCTTATTTATGTGTTATTTTCAATGTCCAGCACAAAAAATTACCATTTATCACAGTTTTAACCTGATTTCTAATTCTTGGTAAAATCCAAGATGGCAGCCAAAATGGTGACCATTGTTGGTAATGTCACAGGCCTCCAGCGGCACCACCACCCATAAAATAATTTATACCTCATCTTGTTGAGAAGATCAAAGGCTTTTCACTGAAGGCAAAATTGTTTTGAAATATTATAACATATCAAAAACTCTGGGGGAGTCTATCAACCCCCCCCCCCCTTGTACCGCGGTGGGGGTAAAAATTTGCATGTACATCTGAGGGTTAAGACCCTGAATATTCTTGGATCACTAGTACCAGTTGATAAGGTGGCCATGCTGGATGACAACAATGGCGTCTGTGACTTCAGTACAGCAAACCAGCAACAGCCATATTTCATATCATCCACACAAGAACAACAACTGTCAGAAAGAGCACACCAAACTTTACAAAAGTATGGTATACACCTGTGAACAAGATGCAGCCTTTCAAAAACTTGACAATTAACAGTACTATGAAAAATAATGCATGGATTGGTGGAAACTTTACTGGATATCTACACATCTCTTGTTTAATATTAAAATTCTTGAATGGCTGTATCTCATTCAATATTTGCTAGCCTGTGAATACAGGGCAGTTTGTGGGAGAGACACCTGTGATTCAGTAATTCAGTCCCAAACATTTTATGCTGATGACGTAGACTTGTCCTGAATCTGGTCAATGACAGCTACTGGTAATTGGTCAATTTACATGTAGTAAATTGTATTCTTTTAGCATTTGTTTACAAATAATAGGCCACAAAAATGTTAATGTCAGGAATCTACTCAAAAACAGTCATTATTTTGTGGAATATACTATATTCTTCTTTGAACCTCTGTAGGGGTATTTCTGATGACAATCCCCATTGATGAAGAGACAATCTTATTTTTTGTTATTATTATTGCTCGGAGCAACAATCACATTGCCTCTTTCAATAAGTTTGACAATGTTAGTCATGCAATGACAGCATTGAAACTGGTCAAAAAGTGTGCTGCACGTTCAGAGTTTTTGTTTTGCTTATTTTCTCGTTTCCGTCATAGTTGCAGTTGCCCTGAGTGTGCAAGTCGTGTTAGTGGTATCATCATGAAAACTTTTTCTTGAAGTCCATCAAAGTTACGACTTCCGTGCAAAAACCAACATCAAATTTACATCTGCAGGTTAACTCATAGTCTAGACCTGCCTTTAATAGAGCTGCACCAGTTCCAAACAAGGTTTGTGATTGGCTGGGAAAACAATAGGGATGGTGACATAACAATACCCCTATCCCTGAAAACAATAGGTAGTGAGGGTTATAGGAATTAAAGTTTTGAATTCTTCTGTGAAGGAACTGGCAAACTCACGTGCTTCTTGTAAAGAAGAGCCTCTGTAACGATACTATACGGACTCGTACCCAGGCCCCCACAATATGATTCCGGTGTCACAGCGTTTTGGGCATCCCCGCGTTTTGGGCATCCCCATTCCCATATCCCTAGCGTTTTTGGTATCCCCTTCTCATATTACTGCAGCGTTTTGGGCATCCCCCGGTACCCTCCCGGGATGCCCAAATCCCTAGCGTTTTGGGCATCCCCTCCAAAACAATTTGGGATTTCGCGGGAAAATCGAAAACCTTTTAGAGATGGATTCCGCTAAATATGCAAATCTGTTCGGTATCTTAAAAATAAGGTTTATCCGAAGGCTTTACAAAGCAGGACAAAACAATTCTTAGAAAATTCGCAAAAAGTTTGAGTATGACTCAAAATTAGAGTCCTTGTTCAACGTGGCCAAGGAGAAGGATGGCACAGCGCGCTTGACGTCTTGTTATCGCCGAGGAAGATAAAGCGAGGGTCTTCAAGAGTGCCACTCTGCTCCTTTTTCTGGACACACCGGCCGCGATAACACTCTAAGGAAAATCAAAGAGCGGTTTTACTGGCCTGAATACTACAAGGACACGATAGAAATGGTTGCAGTGTAGTTACAAATGTTATTTATTTGCCAATTGATCGTGTTTTTGAAACACCCGCGTTGATAATCGAAAACATACGCTAAATTTCTTCTGTTTTCAGTGAAATTTGAAAGGGTGAGGCATAATTGCATCTTTTGGTAGGTTGTCAAAGGGCATTGTAAACCGGAGTCCTTCTTATAGATCCCGTTTGTTATTATTTTATGTGAAGCCAAAGATCAGAGGTTATATTTCTGAAGGGTCAAGATGACAGATTTTCTGTCAGTTAACCTAAGTGTGGCCTTGAACATCCATTTATGTCACGCCCGCTGTCACGCCTGCGGCGCCAAGCACAACATCTCTTCTAGTGACCATCATTGGAGCATCCATTTATCATAACTACATAACTACAGGATTTTTTTTCTAGACATGCCTTTCCCTTGCACTGGTTTTTTTGGGGGAATTGTCACCCCACCTCCGGTTATTTCTGATGATTTGAGGCCTCTGTAATTGTGTGACAGCCTTTCCTGTATCAAGTAGCGCTGCGGGGTTAAGTTGTACAGGCCTCAAATGTCATGAATACTATGAATGCAACACCGCAAAAACGCAGTTTTATTCATGTTTACCTTTTGATTCCTTTGTTTAGAATTCTTGTTTTTGGCTGTTTGAAGCAGGCGATCGCAGCTGCCGGCGATTGCGGCATTGCTCGCTTGTAAACAGTTCTATTAAATAAAATTGAAAGCTTTGCAAACAATGAAGTGTTGTGCATCGAAGCGATGTTATGCGGTTGTAAATTTCAGTTTCGTCATGTTTTGAGCCAACGTTTACTGCCTATGGGTTTTTTTCTGCGCAATTAACCCGGCAAAAAGTGTCGGACGATATAATTCTAACATGCATCTACACTATTTAGCCGTAAATTCGTGATTAACAATCCCGACTTTTCCCCAGTCTGAAATAATTTAGGCAAAGTCGAAGTGATCAGCGTTTTGGGCATCCCCCACCGGGGATGCCCAAAACGCTAGGGATATGGGAATGGGGATGCCCAAAACGCGGGGATGCCCAAAACGCTGTGACACCGGCAATGATCTACCACCTACACCCACTATGCAGCCCCTTTTAAATATCTCACAATGGAAAATCCATTCCATGCTTACATAATAAAGGGAAAATTATCATCACAATTCTAAATCCCCTGACTTACAGTTTCCGGCTGGAGCTGAAGTGTCCAACAAGGTTGTCATCGATCGCGAACAAACCGGTTTTCTTCGCCGTTCTGGATGCCATTTCATTAGATGACCTGTGGGTAAAACAGAAGTTTCAACGGCTTGGATATCGGTGAATGCGTTTTAACTTAGTCTAGGGACGTTTTTTTTTCCCCGACACATAGCCTTAACCGTTGCTACGCCAACCATTTCGAGAGCTCGCGCACGGTGTGAAGTGACAAAAAAATCCTGCTTAGCTCAGATGTTCTTACCTTTTTAATGCCAAAAGCAGATAGATTTACAATTTGCCGAGAAAATCATTTTGATTTCCTCTCTTCCTCAATTGCCGGCAGAAATTACATGTACCGTATCATCATCTACCATCTGCAAGTCCGCCATTTTTTCTAATCACTTGCCTACAACCATATTTGGTAAAGGTGAAATACAGTTCCAATCTTTTACGCGGTTAGACGGTGAAGCCTGGTGGAAACTGCACTGCCCTCGAGCACTTGGAAAATATCAATTGTTAAGTATCCACTGCAACCATTTGCGTCACTTATGTGGTGGAAAAAGTTCCGGGGTTTTTAATTACTGTTTTTGCTCTCCGATATGGCTTCAAAGGAAGGTGCGTTTCATTGATTTAATTATATTTCGCGAGAGATGCAAGCTTAGCTGAAGCTTCTATTCATTTGAAAATGAGGGTAAGCCAAGCTTTATATTCAGTTTTTATATTTCGTTTATTTTCAGATAAACCTCCATCAGAAAATCAAGATGAAGGAAGTATTGGAGATTCGGGTGAACATCAAAGCGATGAGAGTAGGTTCCGTTCACAAGTTAAAAATAAAAAAAAAAAAAGATACTTGTCGTTAGTTCGCAACACGTTCGTGACATGTTATTTTCTGTAAGCCATCGAAAATAAAGTAAGATTTCCGTATAACCCTATATATATTAATTATGCATGCAGCAACTTCATTCCTTTTCTCACAAACAGTTTTAAGGGACAGGTTCATGGTGAAGCGCATGCTCATTAATTTAATTACTTTTTTCCAATTAATTATTAATTCTATAGGTTAATTATCCCATTCACATGTATCTCAGTGATCTCAGAGTGTATTTCAAAGTAGAATTGAATTTCAGAGTAACTTGAAGTAGGATGGAGGAGTACTAAAATCACCAAAAAAATAAGTGGATTATGCCAACACTACCAACATTGAATTTATTGTTGATCTGAAGGTTTTATTCCATGGTTGATTAATTTACAGCTATTTGCAAATATTCAAGTTGATCAAGTGCGAGTGACTGCCAGGGAAGTGTTCAGATTGGATCTTTGACAACATTATGACATGGTCATTTTGCTTGCATAGATGATACAGCATGTCCCGGCAGAAAAATAGCATTTTGATAAATGAGCATGCGCTGAACTGTGAACCTGTCCCTTTAACATGAATAGAGTCGAAACATGTATGCATAATAAATGTATGGGGTTATACAGAAATCTTACCGAAACTATTTCCTTAATCCCACTAGAAAAAAAAAGTATATTTCTCATTCTTTTCAGCTGGCCAATAGGCAGCGAGCCTAGTATTTAGGTAGCAAGTTTGACAAGTTGCAAAACCGGTGTAAAGATTGTTAGAATAATTGCAGTCAACTCGCTTGTAAGCGACCACCCTTTGTGCGCAACAAAGTGTTACTTACAAGAGGTGGTTGTCTATGGGAAAAATCAAGAAAATAAACTCAAACTGATCTGAACATTGTTAAGTGATAGCCTTACAAGCTAACATTAGTCAAATAGATAACTGGCAACAATGTTCACATCGGATAGCACTTGGAACTGTTGAAGCTTTGTACATAACATTTTGCATCAACAATCCACTTTTTTATCCATATAGATCATATAACAGCCATCTTTTTTGTAAGTCAACTGCTATAATCTTTCAGCACACGTGGTTAGTGCTTTCATAAACTGAACTTTTGTGACATTCAAGAAATGGTTCTCTTACAATGAATGATATGTGATCTTGCCAGGTGGTCACTTACCGGAAACAGAAAACAAAAGAGTACATTAAATGTCTGGCCTTAAACAGTATTTGACTGAGAAAAAAAACAGTTATTTGGTCACTTACAGGAGGGGTTGATTACAAGAAGTGGTCACTATGAGAGAGTTGACTGAATGTTAGGTGTACCACACACTGATTACCACTACATGTAGTTTAGTGTTGGCGTCTGTACGAGTGGCAGATAAAGTGATGCTTCCACAAAGCAAGGATTAACCTTTCTGCTGTGCTGGCCTGAACAAACATTTACCCAATCTTTACCCAATGATCTTGCCTATTGCCAAGGCTAAACTGTGTTTAGTGAACTGATCAGAAAAGGAAACATGCTCAAGTAGCAAGTATGGCCTCCATAAATTATGTCTTGTCATAGCGAAACATTAATCATTGGGCATGACAGGACATCAATAATCTTGGTTTTATTCCAAAAGAAAATCGACCAAATTTTGTGGCCAGCACAAATTCAAGGAAAAACCTTTTCTTTTTTAATAATCGTTGCATTATATAATTCTCTGAATTAAGAATTAATTTTATTTGTTTAGAAAACCAAGATGATAGCAGTGCTGAAGCCTCAGGAGGAAAGCCAAAAGATGGGAGTAAGTTTCTTTAGATTGCTGTTTTTCATTTCAGTATGTCAAACTTTTGAGCCATAATTGGCTCAGTTGGCTGAACACAGTTTTGGCAGTTTGTGAGTATATGTCACTTACCAAGTCATGGCAAGAGAAGATTGCAGCTCACGAGCTGAAACTTGGCAAGTGAAAAATATACTGATGAAAGATTTTGATTGACAGGTAAAATGTGACTTTTTTGTAGTTTCCATGGCAACATGAACTATTGAATACAAGCTTAAAATTTCACTTTTGCTCAGTTTACAGAAAAATCACTCATTACATGTTCCTGTAAACTTGCACACAGCTTACATCACCATTTGAAACTTAATTGACCAAATTTTAACAAAGGGGATTTAAATAATCAATAACATAATTGTGCTGTAATTATTAAACGTGTCATAAAAATCGTCTGTTCAACATCCATTTTAAAATTCTCATTATTTAAAATACGATAAAAGTAAAAATTTTGCCAAATATCACAAAATTTTAATGATTAGATTTTGAGAAATCGTCTTCTGTGTACCATTGCTTTTTCGCCGCCATGTTTGTTTGTGTAAGTAAAAACACTCACCGTCACACGAGTTACTGCTGACTGCCTGCGAAACTGTGTTCAGCCACCTTAAGTCACCTCTACTAACTATGATTAAGTTCATATTTTGCTTTATTGTACCTTGAATAATTTTATACACAATGTCCTTTCTCCTGACAGCCAAGAGCACTGTACGTATAACATGTATCAGTCAAGCCTGTCTTTTGCAGGAGATATTTCTTGCACAGTTTGTTTTAGCAATTTAGTGTACCAGCAACATTGTAAAGTTTGGATAAGTTCAAAACTCATCAGTTTGTCATGTAATTACAAACCCTCTAGTCAGCCTCAGCTCCTTGTTTTCATTCCACCTTATCTCATTTAAATCAAATCAGTGCATTGCAAATTAAAAATGAATAATAAAATTGATAGTACTTCAGTCAATTCATTTTTAAATTATTAGGGAAGATCAATGCTTTTTTTGTAACTGCTTCAAGCAATTAATTTGAAGGTGTGCCTGAGCAAAGCCCTAAGTATATTCTGATAAACTGTATAATTCTCATTTCACTATGCCTGGTATGTGCTTATAAAGCAAATTAGGAATAATTTAAAGTTTGATCAAGAGTCATCAAGGGCCTAATAACTTACATGTTCTTTGTCGATATGAGAGGGATAGTCAGCTCTATCAAAACAGGAACATCTTTGAGATATGACAGACCTAATAATTTTAGAAAGATACTTTCCTTCATAAATTTTTTTTATCTGTTTTTTCACCTTTGTATTTATGTAGGTAAAGCTACTGAATGTATTTTTAATTGTTTTTCTTTATTCTATTTATCATTATTTTTTTGTTGTTATTTTTTTTTTAGTTAGCTTGAATGCTCTTCAAAAATTTTTGCAAAGCTTACAAATATCTGCTGGCACTGGAGTTAAGAACGGAGAAGCTAATGAAGAGGAGAAGGAAAAACCAGTACAGTTATTAGATGCAGTAACATTTGAGGGTATCGCAAAATTCATCAGGAGTGGCCGCTGTGAGTTCATATTCTGACAATATTGTTATTGACATGTTTTTCATTTTGCAAATTTATACAAAAGATTTTAACAAATGTAGTGATCAAGAACTTGTTTATACATTAATTTTTGGGGGGAACAATAGATGGTACTACCTTTCCAAGAGGTGTCATTTTAAAAGTGACATTATTTTGTTATTGAATTTTATACACAGACTCAGAGGTTAGAATGAACGAACGAACGAACGAACGAACGAACGAACGAACGAACGAACGAACGAACGAACGAACGAACGAACGAACGAACGAACGAACGAACGAACAACTTTATTAATGTGTCAATCTTCTAGCTGGCTAGACGTAGCCTACTAATCGGGGAAACCAAAAATTGTCTGCATTGTACGTTTTTATATGGTGAAATACTGAGAGGTTTTGGTGGTTGTTGTTTTGTAGGCTCCAAAATCATTGTCATGACTGGTGCAGGGATATCTACAGCAGCTGGTATTCCTGATTTTAGATCCCCTGGCACAGGCCTCTATGATAATCTTCAAAAATATGACTTACCCACTCCTCAGGCGGTGTTTGAGATCAATTTTTTTAGGGTAGGCTGTAGCACTAACAGTGTTGAAAATTAAATATGTGATGTACTAGCAATTAGTTTAATGCAGTTAAACCAGCCATCACTGAGCACCTGAAATGCCAAAAATTGGTAGTCATTAATAGGAAACATAATGCTAATGAGCAGTTCAAATTATTGTGGTTTCACTGAGTAATTGATTTTGGTATTTGAGACATACAGCTGTGCGTGTATTAAATAGGTGTCCATTATGGCGAAAAGTAACACAGCGTATGGAAGTTTAGCAGCTGTATTATAGGATTCATAAATTATTTTATGCTATTTGGTTAAGGTTCCTATTTTAACCTGATCATGGTCACACTTTAATATCATTTTATTGTATCTTTATTTTGCCAAGCTGTGGATCTTTCTTACTCTGCTGTCTGAAGAAAATAATATTAATTGTAACTTATATGCAAGATTGACACTAAAGCTTGGGAAAGAACTTAGCCTTTAGTCAACCATAATACTCACTAGCTTGATCAAAGTCTAATATTCGACAAAGTTGACTCAGTCTGTCATTCATTTTTTAGTCCAACCCCGCACCTTTCTTTACACTGGCCAAGGAGCTTTATCCTGGAAAATTTCGGGTAAGAATAATTATGATATTGAGAAAACACAGACTGATATTATCACAGCATCTTTGTTGTTTGTTTTTAGCCACCAGATCATCTTCAACTGTTTATATTATACACCATTAATTTTTGCAATCTACAGTATGTAGAGCGATCATTCAGACACCATACATTGTTTAATTTGCAGCTAACTAATGGAAAAACTGAACCACATTGCTTAATTGAAAGAAAACTTTCAACCAAACCAAAATTAATGTTCCATTCAACTCAATCAGAATTTTGATAACTTAAGACATTGAGCGGGACTGGACACAAGTATTTTGTTTAAATGTAACAGTGGTAACGTGGTGTGCACATTATTAGTTGCCCCATGAATGTTCTTGCCACATGCATCAACTAACTGTTGTGTTTTGGTTCTATCTTCAGCCTACAATTTCTCATTATTTCATCAAGTTATTAAGTGACAAGGGATTACTTCAAAGAAATTACACCCAGGTAGGATGGTCTTCCTATAAAGCATGTTCTTGGAGTTACTTACAAGTAACATAGTGATGTCATGGTCTGTTTTGGGTTACATGTATGACTAATTTACTTCAATAATTTAGCCTAGCTTAAAAAGTTTTTGCCACAAAATCTAACTTGTACAAACATTTGAGAGAAACCTGCAATAATTGTAAGCACCGGTAATGGTAAAAGCTAAAAAATTTTCACAAATCTGCGGAGCTCTGCAATTTGTAATACCAAAGTGAAAATTATGAAATTAGTACAGATCAGATCAGGTTTATTTTTCATTGCAGTTTTCAGCTGCATAGCATTTGTGACTAATTATCTTTTTTCTTGTCTTGACCCTTACTCCACTAAAGAAGCTTTTATTTGCCAACCTCTTCATTTCTTCCCTCTTCATCAACCTCTTTAGTTAGTTCATAGGTTGTCAAGTCTGGACCCTGTACCCTGTGAAAGTCAATGCATAATTTGTTTGATACAGCAGCTTGATCTTAATAAGGCGTATAAGAGGTGTATACATGTGTAGCGCTCCCTGACGTTAGCAAGTGGGACGTTAGTCATTAAACCAACATGTAGGTGAAACAACCAGCCACTGAACCTGGGTCACATCAATGGGTGCAAGTGATTTCACCTCTGGACCATTCTCGCCCTCCAAACTGCATGCACTGACGTATTGATTATAACTTTGTTAGAATATCGACACTCTTGAGCGTGTGGCTGGCATCCCACAGGAGAAGATTATTGAAGCCCATGGTTCATTTCATACAGCACATTGCGTAGGCTGTCAAAAGGAGTATCCACATGAATGGATTAGGGGTAAGGATAGGTTTCATACATCAGTTTTGAGAGGTTTTGATACTATTGTATTAAACAAGGCTGCAAATAAAATGTTGTTAATCAATGAATGATGGCTGCCCAATTTTTATTTATATCCACACATCAACATGATATTATTATTTGCAGCCCTGGTATCATTAAAAACGTTTAACTAATAGCCTGAGGCCAGACTCCTTGGTGGAAAAAAAAACCCGCTTGGTTCGCCTCTTTACTTCCCTAAGGAGATTTGTCCCAGGCTATGTACTAACTTCTCTGTGTCTGGATATGGTGCTCAGATGTAGGGCGTATGTAGCAGGCCCTGGTTTGATTTTTAGGGCGAAGGAAGAAATCTTCCCCGTGCGCGGCCTTTAAAAAAAAATAATCGGCGCCTGTTACGCAGGCTTTAAGTTGTGCTTCTTGGCAGCACTGAGGGACTACAACATGAATTTCTCCCTTCTGAGAATTTATCGTGGATATAAAGACATGTCAACAAACGATTTTGGATTTGGTACTGGTCCCTAAGAATTCAGCTCCTGGAATATTCTCCTTAATGACATTTAAAAAAATAAGCGAGTTGGGTTATTAGCTTTTAGTGTTAAAAGAATGATAATAATAATATACACCATATGTGTCCTAAAATGATGATTATTATTATTTTCTTTCAGATGAAGTGTTTGCAGACAGGATTCCCTATTGCTCTAAGTGTGAAGGAGTTGTCAAACCTGGTGAGTTTGCAAACACTTCTCAAGTTGGTGGAATAAAAGCTCAGTTTATAGTGACACTCATACCCTAAAATGTTTTATCCACCATAATTGGTCAGGTTACTTTTGATCTGTCAGAGTTTACTGTGAATGCTATGCGTGCTGTGAGTGGTCATTGCTCCTTATTAGTCCAGAGTCCAGACACATGATGACGTGTTGTGAAAGTTGTTTTCTTTGCCTTGTCTAACATGGCATAAAGGTTTGTAAAAGGGTTGCGAGCTTTTTTTGAATTCTATTGGAGAAAGCTTCGAAAAAAACATGGACAGGAGCTGCTATAGTAAAAAAAATAGAAAATAGTCTTGCCCAACATGGTGCGCACTTCTAAAAATGGTTGCGAGCTTATTTCAGATTCAGTTCGAGAAAGCATTGAAAAAACGTTTACAGGAGCTGACAACTGAAGTGATGGCAGAGGCTATTAACTGGTCAAGAAAAGGAAGAAAACCTAGACAAAAAGTGGTCTTGGTGACTTGGAAAATGTCTTATAACTTAATAAGATTCTTCGAAGAGTTGAGCACTGTGTGTCAAGTTTCTACCTTTTCTCTTCTGCAATTTGTCGTATACACTGCACGTCTGTTCAGGACGTCAAAATGTGGGAAAATACTTATCACTGATGCATTTGCCTGTGTCTTCTTGGCCCATTTTTTTGTTCTTGCCATTATTCAGGATTATTGTAACGTTTTGTTATGTGTTACTGTAATGTGCTAGAATGCACTCTTTGACAGCACAGATTTTTATCCCATGAAAAGGTTGCAAGCAAGAAAGTTCACTGTAAGGCTTTTATAAATTAGTCAAATTTGATGCGTAACATAATTATGTATTTTATCTTTGCAGACATTGTGTTTTTTGGTGAGTCCTTACCAGAACGCTTTCACAAGCATGTTACAAAGGTTAATGGCTATATTCAGTATATATAAACAATTCATGTGTTGTATAGAATCAGTCTCTAATCTGAGCTTTCCTTGTTAGGTTCACTCCCGGGGGGGGTACTCGCAGAAAAATTGGGTAGGGGTGTGCGGCCCGCGTCCCAAAACCCTTACCCTATTTATGACCAAAATCTGCGATTTTCCCTACCCTATTTATGACCTAACAAAAAATTTGATACCCTATTTATGACCTGACCCTTAAATCAATACCCTGTTTCAGACCTGCCTTATAATTATTTCCCTAGTTCAGACCAATGTTAAAGGCAATGTTTATCTGCTTTTATTAGGTTAGGGGGACATGATAAGGAAATAGCTTCTTCTAAAAAAGTGCATTCAAGACTACAGTGCAAAAATCGTTACCCTATTTATGACCAAAATGGCGGCAAAATAGCCAAAATCGATACCCAATTTATGACCAAAACGGCTGAAAAACCCTACCCTTTGGGGCCGCACATACCTATATAGCCCATATTAGGGAGTACCCCCCCCCCCCGGGGGTTCACTATGATAGTAGAGATGTTTCTGCAAATCCAGGAAATCAATGATGATTTATTTGGAAGTTCACATTTCACATATCAAATTCCCCACTCAAAACATTGTCGTTCGTGACATAACGTACAAGCTTTCAACAAATCAACGTCTCTAGTACTGCACAAGTGAAAAAAATTTAGTCATAAACACTTTAACAGTAATATCTTCGCATTATCAAGGATGAGAAAGGTTTAGGTAAGTCTCGATTGTGGACGAACGAAGAAACATTTTTGTTTCGGCTAGATTTGAACGCACGACTTCCCACAAACACCGCCGTTGGCGCTGTCGACTGAGAGAGAGACTGCGGAGACTAATCCTTATTTACTATGCGCCCATGTGACAGGCCTGCCCCATACTGTGGTTATCAGCAGTGTCTAGTGCATCGTGTGTGGTGACAAATAATGACAGATGATAAATGTCATGATTGCTGATTCATATACATCGTGACTTATTAGGGTATATATAGGGAGGCCTTCGACATTGGCTCAATTAATATGACTTACACATGTATGACCTCGCTTCCTTTACAGGATATGTCGAAATGTGACCTTTTGATTGTGATGGGTACTTCTTTAGTTGTGCAGCCATTTGCTTCACTTGTAGACAGGTGAGATAATGCGATAACCGAATTTATAAACAAGTATTACTGCCAAATTAGGTTTCTCCTTCTTTCATGTGTTATCAACAAAAACGATGTTTCACATGATATTCAAGAGGAAAGTTGCATCCAATTCAAGGAGCTCCATCAAGTTTTACGTTTACACAGTAGACACCTGGCTCCGGTTGTTTAAACGTTGGATAGCACTATCTGCTGGGTAAATTACGATCCAGCGGATAACTATTAGGGAAACCAATTAATGCGTTGACCACTGGATAGTGATTTATCCAGTGGATAGCGTTATCCACCTTTTGAACAACTGGGGGCTGTTTCAATACGTTTAGGCCTTAGGCCCTCCGTCATCGCAACTCTGGATGGACGCTCCACAAGTTTAAGCTAATTGTCTTGTCCTCGTCTTGACAACATGCATGCAGATGCTTCTTGCAGAAAGCAAGTATCCCTTCGTTTTTTGTAACATAGTACATAATAATAGTAATAATTTATTAATTTGCTCTGGCGCCTTTTAATATATAAATGACCAAAAGCGCTTTACATTCTCTAGATACTAGATAAATTTATAAAATGAATGCATGATAGATGAAACCGATAAAGAGGAAAAATGCTAATAAAAATGCATAGATAAAATGAAAAGAAAATTAAATATATTTAAACTACGTAAAAGCTTATCCAAAAAAATGTGTCTTGACTCATGTCTCTTAAAAGCGCCCAGTAATTCTCTTCGCGGATATGCGCGGGAAGGCTTTTCCACGATGCAGTGGCGGCAGCGGAATAATAATATGTAATAAAGATATAAAAATTCATGTCACGCGCTCTTGTATCTGTATGCAGAGTTCCAGAGACAACTCCGAGACTGTTGATAAATAAAGAGAAAAGTGGACAGCAGGTACGATTGAATTTGTTGTTAGGCAACGCTCTCAAAGTTTCCGGTTCGTTCCATATTATTATTAATTTTTTTTTTGCGGTTTATCAACCTGCCATTTGCGATCCTTATGAAGATCTTCAACCAACTTGCTTCTTATGTTTTTTTGTCAGTAACTTGGTAAGTCGTAATTTTTTTCTGTATTTATTGTTTGTATCTGTATATTAGATTGATTGCTTGATTGATTGTTACTCGTGTTTCAATTTCAGGTAGATTTTTTCACCCTTTTAATGGGAGGGAAGAGTGGATTTCAATTTGACAGTGAGGACAATTATAGGTAAGATAAAAACGCAGTTACCATTCAAGTGAACAAAAATGGTTTTGTAATTAAGTGGAAATTATGGTCCCTCTTAGATCTTTCCTCTTTAGTTTTTCCCGCTCACATCTCTCCACGCCGTCCCCACAATCTGAACGCCAGGGGCTCGAAGAGCCCGCCCGCCACCTCCCTTATTTTTAGACCAAACTGCGGCCCGAAGGGCGGAAAAAACTTTTTTAGGAGAACACCCCCCCCCCCCCATATCTCAAGGTCTGTGTCCGTGACTGGCTTGTGAGAGTGTAACTATGCTGTATGTTTGGTTTGTTGTAGAGACGTAATGTGGCAGGGTACTACTGATGATGGCTGTGTTGCTCTGGCTGATTTACTGGGCTGGAAGGTTTGTCATTATCAAATAAACACGTCCCCCTTACGCCCGGTTGCACAAAGCAACTTAACATTGGATTGGAGTTTGTAGCCTTTTCTTTCGATTGGGTTTTTTGTATTCGGTTGGTGTTTCCTATCCTCTTGTAGAAAAGGGAGTTGTTGTATGAAATTCGCACTTAATCTTGAGTTGTTTAAACCTACCCGGCCCTTGGACCCTAGCTTGTTGCTTTTAATCCCTTTTTCTCGGATAGCTTTTGCGGCTATGTCACCCACGGAGGCCCAGAGAAGGTCAGTCGTGGAGCAAACAACGGCGACGTTCTTCCTCCGGTTCCTTCAAACTTTCTACGCCGTTTGTTCCTCGCCCCGACTGACCGCCCCTTGGAACAGTTCCGAGGATTGGATGAAGCTAAGTAAATTTGGAGGCAATTTTTGCGAACGTAACGTTTTTCTTTCGCTATGCTGACTAAGTTGTGAAGCGAGAGTTTTAAATTTGTTTCCTCTCGTCATGACGTTCACGCTACTCATAAAGGGAATTTTTTAATTTTTTTTTCCGCCAAAGGAAAAACGCTTCACTTACATAGACACGCTTGCTACACTGGTCAGTACTCTTCTCAGTCATGTTACCTTGGATATGCTGTTTATTTTTGTCCGTTGATTGATACAGGACGAGCTTTTGAAGCTTGTGAAAACGGCACACAAAATGATCGACAGCGCCTCAAGGACACCAGAATCGAGGGACGCCAATGGTAAGGTTATTTACTGTATGTCCTTAACTGTTACCGCTGGGAGCCAGCCTAAGGTACTTAGGGTATGCCAAAACGTGTTCAGCCTCGGCTTTTATAGCCAGATTTTAGGTTGCGGGTGTCAAGGTTTCATTTTCCATTTCTTACTTTTTAATAAGAAATCACTCCCCTAAAATGACAGTGATCTCCTCCCCCCGCCCCCACTAATTTCTTCTAAGCCCCTCCCAATTTGAACTGCTTGGTAAGGTTTCTTTTGGTAACTTAAAATTCTGATTTGGTCTTAGATCAACACACAACAGCTAAAACGTCAGTTAGCAAAGACAGTGTGGAAAAACAAAGCACTACGGCGGAAAACGCAGCATCACCAAAGAGAACTCTACCAAAGAGCAAATCACCAGCGGGTACCTCATCAAATGAGCGCACCTCAAAGGGTTCCACACCAAAGGGGGCTTCTGGAAAGAGCACTTCACCAGCGGGTCCCTCGGTAAAAGGGTCTAAGTCAAAGAAGAGTCCTTGAAAGATGGTCCATCAACCAAAGGATACCCGATGAATGACATGTTTTCAAAGCTATCTTCCACTACGAATTCTCTAACAAAGGATGACAACGAGGACTCTCAAGAGTGATATTTTAATTCTACCCCATGATGCTTGGACCAACGTCGATTTTTTTTATTATCGAGAAGACCTCTATTTATCGTCCGGTTATAACGGTCATTACGTTGTTTTTGAGTCATAAGATTTATTTCGACGTAAAACTGACCAGTAAATGAGCTAAATAGGTAGACAAATTTCTCTACCTGAACCCGGGAACCTTAGGAACGAGGATTTAAAATCTGTTCTCTACTGTATTCGAATAAGATTAAATTTAGAAACACATTTAGGTCAAAATAAAATTAACAAATAAAGTAAAACACGTAGTTTCGGTTTGGGTACATTACCTTCAAATTTTTGTGTTTTACTTTTTTCGCTGATTTTTTTTCCTGTAAGAGACTTTTCTGTAAGTCCCTTTGCTTCTCATTTTCGGGTCCAGTAGTGGACCTGAGCAAAAAGGACGCTCGCTTTTGCCACAGAAAACATGAGCTCAACTTGTGCGCAAGGGTGAGACCAAGTTCACACGGCACTGGACGAATTTTCGACCAGTTAAAACTTCGTGCGTTGAGGAGTTCTGTTCAAACAGAGCCACCTTAACCTTGTGAAAATTTAGACGCTTAGCTGGTCAAAAATCGAGGTGTAATTCAGCCGGGGTAAGGTTGAAAATTCATCCGGTGCCTTGCGCAATAGAAGAAAAAGTATAAAATTCTGTTAATGGACAACTACATAACCTAGAGTACATTGTTTCGTGACAATATGACCTAATATGATCTGAGTTTTTGAAATTGCAGACACTTTAAGAAGAGTGGTGGTCTTTAACAAAGTGCAATTGTAGTCAACATTTTCAGTCTACATCTCACTGCAAACACTAATCCCGGCTGTTTTTTTTTGTCTGGTTGAGGGGGGATCTTTCGAATCTGTACCGGTTAGATGTGTTGGTGTTACACACTCCACAAGTCCACAAGCATAAACTGTAAACGACGTTTATTACAAGTACAAACCGCCCCGGGGGGGAATCCCCATATAAAAGGGGTGGGGATGCTCGTTGTCTCCCTAAGGGGTATAAATTTCGGATTTTGGTCTCACTTAGGGCGCTCTGGGCAAAACGCCATCATATTTAGCCGTGAAGGTCTCGTTTAGGGTTGCACGTGAAAAAGTATTAAAATATTTATATATTGTCTGTGTTTTAACATGATCTCTTTTTAGGGTCAAAAAAAGCTTGGGCCACGCCCAAATCGGTCTCCTTTAGGGGTTTAATTCAAAATTTCCGACGAGCATCCCCACTGCTTTCATATGCGGTCCCCCCCTCCGGGGAAACCGCGCACTGTTCGATTACATCAGCCACTAGCACATGGTTCGCCCTCGCTCTTCCCTGCATTCCTCACGGTATAGACATACTCGATCGCGTCACGCACCACTCACTTGCGTGTCACTCACTCGTCATTGAGCCTATTTAGGATGATGAAGTAGGTAGGACTTTTCAAAAATTTGTTCCAATTGTGTTTATGTCTGTAAGTAGTATAGAGTGGGTTTCTAAACATGTAAAACTTTTCAAGTGTGTAGGAATAGTCATTAATGAAAATATCAGCTTAGTTCTGACACAGTCAGTGTTGCTTGCTTTTTTTCCCTATCCCAGGGAAGTAACAATGGAGATTGAGCTGAAAAAATGTAATCTCCGACTCTCAAGGTCCCCATAATACAATCTGTCTCCCCCACCAATTGTTTTTTATTATTATTATTTTTTTTTTTTTTCAATTTTTCACGGGACGATTGATCCCCTGAGGAATTTAAAACAAATATAATGAAAAATTTGGTGAGGAAACAAAATTGCATTATGGGGAACGTGAAAGTCGCTAATTGATTTAGCTGTTATTTAATAAAGATTATTGTTGTTGTTGTCCCTTTTTTCTCTCGATATTAATCCAGTTAAACGTTTTCCAAATATTGCCAATGGTAAATGGCCATGGAGGATTACCTGAGGGATTTAAGAGGATCAGAAACGGGGGGAAATATTTTGAATGAAAAATAAAAAGGGGGATGGGTTTAAGGAGATAAGCTTGCTCAGTTTACTTCCTTAAAATAGCCAGAAGAGCAAAATCGCATAAATTAGAAAAAGTGACTGGCACTAACTTCGATAACGGTTTGAAATTGTTTGAAGTGTTTCAAATCAAAAATTAAGAGAGGGAAATATGCAACGGCGTGAGAGTGAACGGGCACTGCTTGTGATTGGCTGTGTGGTGCGGGAATCAGGCAATCAGCAACGCAGCAATGTTAAAGTTTGCGCAATCCTTATTTTAAGTTTCACGCAGAAAGCCAGTACTAATGTTGGCGGGCCAGTTGATTTATTTTGTAGGGAACAATTTTATTCTTTTATGTACATGTTTGTCTATTTATATATCTAGCCGGATTTTTGAAAACGTTACCGCCAAATGGACCTTTTGCGTGTTATCCGCCGTGTAAGGTATTGAAGAAGGTAAATGCTGATCACTATGACATGACATGTTGTCCGGGACATTATCTCGTTATCGTCCGGGTATCGTAAATGTGCAAATCGATACTGGTATCGAGACTACTGTTGCTGGTTATAGCCTTGGTGGTTTATCCACCTGTTATGATTATTGCCAACCATGCACAGGATTTGTTTTAACAGTGGTAAGAGCAGAAGCACGCAGAATCCACTCATGCAGTGATTTTTAAGTGCAATTACAATACATTTTGTCTTCGAGAGTTACGCATGTCAACGGTAGAGGATCTAGGGCTGCTTCTTTGCCATTGCAAGAAAGTGACTTGGTTGTTAATGCTCCGTTTACAGATCGATTCCATTCAAAGGACATTTCCTTGGCGATTGAAAAGTAGGTGTGACACGAAATCAAAAATTTATTTAGCCCAAGAGGGAAAATAATCATAAAATATAGACTGACTCACAGCATGTTTTCATGAACACTAACGCAAGAGTTTTAAGAGTCCTTTATAATCTCGCTTTGTATTGCATCTTCTCTAAATTTCACTCCTATAAAAATAACATCACGCAAAATAAGACAGACACACAGAGTTCAGATTTGATCATCCTTATTTTTTCCAAATTATCTGAAATGCGTATGAGTGGTGTTTTTTTGCAGCAGTGAGAACAATTTATTTATATGTTAAGACCTAGATGTTTTGTTTTCTCAATATACGTACTTACCGTATCTCTTCTCAGAGGGCCTCGAGCTGCTGCTTGTTTATTTATTTCTTAATTTATTTATTTCTTCTTTCCTCGTTTTAAAATAGACCTTTCTAAATAATTCCATACTAATAATCTCCCACTTCATTATTTCATATATTTATGAAAAATTTTAACTTGAAATCGGGTACTGATTGTTTATTATGAGTTATTATATTTTTTCTGTGCGTTACAGACAAAATAGACCTTTGTTTTTCAAAAGTTACCGCATCGCGAATGACACAAAAATATCGATCAGTTGTTCCCAGACTAATTTTATAAATCACACACTTGTAAATGACGACAATAACAAACCGTATTGAGCTTTCTATCCAAACAGAATGTTCCGGAACGTAACAAGGAAATTTACATCGCTCTGATTTTTAGTTTAGAGACGGCTTTCATGGACAAAAAGAACCTTATAGCGCGCGCTTTAATAACAGCAATAACCAGTTGTTACGTAAAACGGTTTCAGCTCAAACAACCTGGCTTGCTTTCACTAAAGTTTGAGGATAAAACTTTCAACATGGAGGTAAGACAGCACAATATTTAGTGTTTTAATGTGTGTAGCTAGATTTTTTATTATTATGATAAACTATTCATTCAAATTCGCTTAAACTTTATCTTTAAGGTGAAATTATCTAATCTAGATGGTAGTTGTAGATCTACGTATAAATTATGCTTTTTACAATCAAATACAAATTTACATGCACTTAACAACCATCCTTACATTTTAAGCTAACAGAGTTTTATTTCCTGACTTTAAACGGTAATATTATGGCTATTCACTTCAGAATAAATTAAAACGCTTGTTTTAATCCAACAGCTGAATTGGTCTTTCTTCATAATTTACCCTGGCTTACTGAAAAAGTTAAAAACGTTTTCGTTCGACAATTCACCAACCTAGCTCGACGAAATACCAAAAGCAAGCAAACTTTGACCATTGTTATGATATTAATTCATGTATATAGTCATTACAAGCGTATTGACGTCAATATTCTTATTTAAGGAAATATCGTTCAAGCGCTGGCTGAACTGCCAAGGATACTTACCTGAAGCACTTCGAAAGCAAAGTTGGATTTCGAACTTATTCTTACGGTTGAGACCAACTTAGTGATCAAAAACGTATTTAGCCTTGATGTAAGACATTCCTTACTGGCTTATTTTCCGAGGCTTAAAAGCATCATCCATTGATAGAGTTGAAATAGGAATAGAAAAGAAAAGGATTTACCGTAACATTTATTATAATAAGCTACCGTAAAATTCCGAAAATAAGCCCCGGGGCTTATATTTTTCAAAGGCCCTTTTTGAGGAGCTTATTTTTGGAGGGGCTTATATTCGGAGGGGCTTATCTACGGAGGGAAATTTGCGTTTCAAAATCGATTGGGCTAGCCTCATAGTTGGAATGAAATTTACCGTTTTTTCTTTGTTTTGCTTTGTATTTGAGGGCAATTTCCAAGTACAAGCCCCCAGCGGGGCTTATATTCGGAGGGGCGATTGAACGGAGGGTTTTTTTGCGTTACGAGTTTGGGGGGCTTATATTTGGGGGGCTTATACATGGAGGGGCTTATTTTCGGAATTTTACGGTATGTTCACACTACATTGGATAGCCGGTATAAAGACGAACGGTGAACATAGCTTTAGTTTTAAAATGCGGAGAAGTTATTTACATACGTCAAGCGGACAAAATACTTTCTCTATCTAATACCTCCTCTTCAACGCAAAACATTACGTTCGTTTAAATGACTGTCATAAAAATGCGGCCAACATTGTCTCTTGGTAGGGAAGTAAGCAAAAGGGTTTTAGAAAAACATCCCAAATTTAAAATTATGTTACATTCAAAGGCTTTTGAGGCTTTGCGACTATCTCCTCTCGGGCAGCTTTGCAGGGACTTTCGGCAAACTAAAAGACAAAATCGAATCAATCTGGTCAAGTGGACGAATGCTAAAAAATGAATATTTTAACCTATTCTGTATATTGCGGGCACTGTATTTAGCGCGCGCAAAAACTTGAAAAGGAAGCTCAATGGCTATAATTACGCGCGCAAGTTTCAAAAATACACTGACGAAGTTGCAACGGGACAAGTAACGGAAGGACGACAGTTAACTAGTTGTAAAGCGAGGTCATCAAGATTCAGCCTATTATTTTTTCTTGTACAGTCAGAAGGAACTGTGTCTTCAAACGAAGTTGACAGGAAGTCGTTGGAATATCCCCCGCCTTTTGAAGACGAAGAAAGGCGAAAAGAGTTTGTTGCTAACGTTCGGTTGCGATGTGAGAAAATCTTAAAACAAGTGCGTCTATTTAAGGAAACATGTGAAGTTACAAAAGTGACTGAAGATTTATCGGATCCAAGTGGAAGTGATTCAACTACAGCAAGCACTATTGAAGGCGAAAGTGAAGAAAAACTTTCCATGGGCTCATTGACTACAGATCAGTTGTCGCAAAAGCTTAAGCAGCATATAGAACGGATCAGTGAGTTACTGCAAGTTCATGATATACCAGACGTAAGTTCCGTAAAACGCTTTATTGATATAAACCGTCATTTTTACATTTTTAATTTTCTCTTTCTTTTTAATGCGTCTTTCTTCGACTTAAAAACTACAACTCATGAACCTTTGATCGTACCAAACAAGCTGTAACCATGGCCACAGCTATTAATAATATATTAACATCATCATCACTGGAAAGGCCATATAATCGTTTTGATTCTGCAGGCTCTGGAGTAATGAATTATATCAGTCTAAGTTTATGGTATGAAAATTATTGCCGTTCCTTGAATTTGTGTCGGCATTACGCTGATTTAGCAACAGAACGGGAACTTCAGTTGACAACGGCGCGCGCAAACCAAACAACTGGCTTGACCAATGGCAGAGCGGCAAAATGGGCACCCGAAGTCGTGTTTAGTTCTTTCCCCGCGCTTTCCTGTCGTCAACTGACGTTCCCGTCCTGTTTTTAAATCAGCCTATTTTTAGGACCGACACATGATGTAACAAAACGCGCCTTTTCCCTATTAACTTTGTTTTATACGAACTAAATTTTATGCCTAGTTTTAAATTATCTTTATTTCTCATAATCATTTAAAGACCTAATTGGCTATTTTTGCCTACTTAAAAATTCTGAATGTTGAATAACTGTGCTAAAAAATGGGGTTCAAAATATAATTTTTCATTTAAACTGCACAGAATTCGTTTTCTCGTCCGTCTGGGACCTATAGTGACAACTTTTGCCATTTGCCAATCCTTATAAACTGCAGTGTAAGATAATCAAGACCGAAAATGTTTTTAAAAGTTTATTGATGTTTTTTTGTTCTGTTTGTTTGTTTGTTTCTGGTAACAGCCTGAAATGCTAAACGTAAAGCAAGAGGAGGTCATAGATTGTGATGCTGCTCAAAACGTTCTGGAGGTCAAAGGCATGCCAAAAGTTATGGAATTAAAAGATCTCGGAAAAAACTCAGGCTCGAGTTCTTCGAATGTGGCGGAGGTGGGGTCGAGTGTTTATAAAGGCAATGATGAGTTTGCTACTTGCAGGAATGCAGAAGAGCAAGCTGCAAAGTTATCAATAGTAGGAGAAGAATTTTGTGATGGAAAGAAACGTGCTCCCAATCACAACGGCATGTGGATGAATAAAAAGACCGAAGACGAGAGCAAATATTTCATGAATGAACACGACGCCAAAAACGAAGAGTCAAGCGATGTTGATCTCTCTACAAACTCTAAAGAAATAAATGAAACAAGCAAAGTTATAATCGAGGCGCTGTACTGGAGAAGGAAAACAGTTGCTGAAGATGCGGCAAGGCTTCTAGCTGAAGCAAATCAAACTAAAATTGAAACGCCTGGAGACGAAAGTCATGCCACTGAAATTCTCAATAGAAAGTTTGTAGACTCACCAGATGATAACAAGTTTAAAAAACGGATGGCTTATGAAACCAGGGCCAAGGAAATCGTCCAGGACGTGTTTAGTCGCATTGGATGCTACGAGAACTTTGTCAGGCGGGCGGACTGGGCCGATGAGACGACCACTGCTTCAGGGGATCTGGGAACTACTCTTGTGGATGATGCTTACGAGGAGGTATGGCGCCTTATCAATAGAACGTTACTTTAAAGCTCAAGTCGTAAGTCCAGGAACGAGGTGCTAATCTGCGCTAGGGTTATCCCCAAATTGGAGAAAGACCGTTTCGAGAATGAAGCACGAAATACGCCCATAAAAAGACAGTAGCACTGACCTTAAGGATTGTCTTGTTGCCCCTTTGTAGACTTAACAATTATTCCACGAGTGCGCGTTGCACATGAGATGGTAGGCAGTCAACGAGGCGCGTAGCGCCGAGTTGCTATAATCATCTCATATATATTCAACAGGCGCGAGTGGAATAATTGTTTTATTAAAAACGCCCACAAAATCTCGAGAATTCTTCCCGACGTTATTTGTAAAAACAGCCGATTTTCAGCTTGTGTTTAGTTTTGAACAGACGCGTATAGTTACCTTAAAAATTTGGAGAGCTTGGTATAATGGCTCATGATAGCTATTTAGCCAATCAGAGCTCTAGAATTGCATTACTTATTATTATTTACAACTTTAAAAGAAATACTCCTATGATTCTCCTATCCCTCTCGAGTATCACGACATTAGGGCCATTTATACGAAGAATAATAGGGCGCGTCTTTCAAAACACGCAAACTCAGTCCTGCATAAACGGCACATTAAGACGCGACTTAGCTAAGATGCGTTTTATCGAAGAAAAGGTGTTAAGGGCTGTTCTTATATAAGACGCGTCTTTGCTAAATTTCAGACGAAATATGCCATTTATGCGGGAAGTTTGCGTCTTATTTAGGACTCTTCTCATGGAAGGCGCGTCTTATTTTTCTTCGTTCTAACTCGGAGAAGCAACGCATATATACAAGCAAATAAGGCCTGTTCCCTTGGTAAAAAAGAACAAAAGTCGAGATCCAGCAGCCCACTATTCCGTAAATATTTCCCTTTGTAACTAGTTCATTAGACAGTATTGGTTGTTTTGTGTCTCTTTGCTGACAATTTCCATGACAACCATATGCGTTCAGGTTTTACAGAGATAACCGGGTGTCAAGAACTCGGCCCTGATAATCAGCGTAGTTGCCTATGAACGTAATAATATTGGCTTGAAAATGTGCCCATTTTAAGGAAACGAGAGGAAAATAATTACAGATTGTAAGCATTAAGTGTGCGCTACAATTAAGCTTTTCAATGCTTTGTTCTTTCTTTTGCTTTATTTAGGACGAAAGGAAGCAGGACGACAAGCATTTTCCAACCTCAAAGGTCACGTGTGATGGGACAAACCAAGATGATGGAATAGTGTCAACTTCAAAGGTGAAATCTGACGATGATGGGAAAGATGAAAGACATGTATCAGTTCCGGAAGTGACGAGTGTTATCGCAAAGGAAGATGATGGACAGATGTCAGCTTGGTGGGTCACAAGCACAGACGTCGATTACGTAGACCCACAATTGACACCTGATCCTGCAAAACAAAATCGTATACAACAGTCATCGCTCGGAATCACGTGCACGGACAATGGTGACGTAGCCTCTGCTACCTCCAGCACCGCTCGACTAATCACAATAAGCACCGGAGAAGCAACATCACGTGATATCGAAGATGAGTCAATGAAAAGACTTTCACAAAAGAAAGGTCGCAAAAGATGGCCTGAGTTGAAAAAGAGACGACGTTCATATTTAGTTGGAAACAAAATTAGTATCGGGAATGTTGTCGGGAAAGGTATCATCTCGAAACAGTCTACAGAAGGTACCAGTTGTAGAATATTTAACAAGCATTTAAACAGCTACTTTAAACTGTAATGCTTAAAACTCTTGTTTATTGTTTGCAAATAAGTGTAGCAGGCATTCTACTCGACAGCTAAAGTTTCTCCACAAACCAAGATGAAATGGTCAAATAATACTTACAGTTTCTCAACGAAACGGCATACTGGATGTGGGCTTTGCTGTTCGCCAGATGGCTGTGTTATTAGCTGGTAAAACGTTGGAAATAGATAACAGGTGTATTTATTAATTTGTTTATTCACCACAGTGACTGGATATAAGTCACAGATAGTATAGCATAGTAACAACAGGTAAAATAGCAACCCTTTGTTTCCGGACACCTGGCCCCGGTTGTTCAAAAGATGGATAGCGTTATCCACCCGTTAAATCGCGATCCGGTGAACACGTATTAGGAAAACCAATTGCATTATCCGATGGGTAATGCTCTATCTGGCGGATAACGCTATTCACCTTTTGAACAACTGGAGCCTGACTTATAGTCGGGACACACTCATTCTTCCGTCAGTTTTCTCATTTACTCTCTTTAATTATAAGATGGACACCTCTATGATTTCTGGAGACGGACGGACACTTAGGGCGGGACTGCCAAAGGTCTTCGTTTTACTTAGGGCGCTTTCCCAAAGTCAGAACTGGCCGTCCGGACCAGACATTTTGGCAATGAAATAAACTTTTTTGCAATGGGTTTTGCTGAAAAACCATCTTCTTTGTGCATAATATTTAGGATTTGTCTGGTTTGAATAAAGGTGAAATTCTCATTACGATGGGTATGGGCTGGCTGGTCGGTTGTGATAAATCAGGAAAGCGCCCTGATAAGAGTTGACTGTATACAAATTAATGAGGCCCTGTTAGGGTGAAATTCCGACAGGACACATGGCCATGAAACGGCGACATAGGACAACAGAAATGGCGGCAAACGACACACGAAGACGAATTGAAACTACAAAACTAGCGACAAAGAAGTGCTCAAATACAGTAGTAAAATACCGACAGGGACATGGCTTCCTCCTCAAAACGCGAAGACGAGGGACATACGGACCCCTCCCCTCCCCCTTTCCCTAAGAGGGCGTTATTAATGCAGTTTAACACATTTTTTAACAGTCAATATCAGAGGCCCTGAAGCCATGAATTGAAGTACAAGCATCGTTATCGCATTTTACCACAGTAATGAGTTTTACAGTATTTGTTTTGTCCCGACAAGGCTCATTCTTGGACCAGTATGAGATATCTAGCCCCGGCACAAGGCACAAAGCAATACTGCAATGAATTATTTCTTTATATGTAGATAATTGTTCAGAAGAGGCTAGACTCATCGTGGACGAGGAGAAGCTAGTTGCCTTGAAAGAATTCATTGCACTTGGAGGTACGCGTTAAAATAATTTAAAACAGTTTTGATAGCACACATTCAACTTTATTGACAGGAAAGAAATGAGTGAAGATATGCTATGCTGTCCACACTGATCTGGTCAAATTTGAAAACGTTCACTAAGGAACAGAGCCTGTGTACAGACCCCCCCCCCTCCCCTCAGTAAAAATTGGAGGGGGGGGGGGGTCTGTACACATGCTATAAGGAACATGGCTTTACTACAGTCTACATGGGATTTTACAAGATGAGCGATTTTTCGCCCCCTCGTTGGTCGGGAGCTATGGTCTATGAGTGTGTAGACCGTACAAAACGATCGTCATTTTCCGTGATGATTCAATTGTGAGCAGAGGTCCTGTAAAAGCATAGCTTTTATGCTTTCATCTCAAAACGAACATTAAAATCCGAACAAAAAGACCATGAAGACCTTTGTAACTCTTGATCGGAAATTCCAACGAATATCTTGTTTCATTGGCCGCCCGTTTGTCCTTCACCAAAATTTTGAAATCCTCGGGAATGAAGCTTGTCATTCTACGCATGCTCGAACTTTGAAAGAGGTAATTCCACACAGGAACAAAGCTACAATAGCATCATTAGTCGACCTGTAAAACAACTTTTTGAAAGTTTCGTTCCTTTTTTACCAGATCGATAGTGACAAGAAAATAGCTCAACTCGCCTCAGAAGGCGGCCTTTCTTGTGGTTTAAAGAATAATTTTTTGGAATGTTCTCTTTTGATGTATTTAATTTTAGACACCAAAACTGCAGGTGGAGATAATGTCGTGGTGTTAAATCCTTCCAAGATCCCGAGTAAAAGAGAGTTTGCTGGAAAGAAAGAGTACAACGAGGTCATGGATTCTTTACTATGGTAGGCTTGCAAATAGCCCTTAAATGTTAGACTGATTTAGCAACAGAACGAAAACGTCAATTGAGGACGGGAAAGCGCGCAAAAAGGACTAAGAGCTAGAGTTCCGGTGCCCAATTTGCCGCTCTACCATTGGTCAAACCAGTTGTTTGATTTGCGCGCGCCGTCGTCAACTGACCGCTTTCCCGTCCAACAATAGTGGAAATGCCAAGAACTTACTCCCCAAACGAAGCTCGGTGATGAAACAAGCAAGTCCGAGGTCATCATGCGTATGAGCTATTAATTATGAATTGCACTGGAACAATCTTAACTCTCCTGCTCGATCTACTTTTGATATAGGATCGATAGCCTACGAGCACACTTCCTGCCCAACTGTTCTAAAAACTTCTGTGTAAACGTCACATGTATTAGTATTGAAACTCACCCACAAAGTTCTGCCTCGTACCCAGACCTCTCTTACTCTACAGAACCTCCCCTAACGGCCACCTCTCCGCAACGGCCGCTTTTTTTGGCGGACAGTCCATACATCGACTCCTTTTAAACCTCTCTAAAACAGCCCCCTCTCTACAAAGGCCACTTTCTTCTGTCCCCGAGCTTAAGGGGGCCATATTGGAGAAGTTCAACTGTATGTAATTGTAGGCGTCAACAAAAAATTGCGCGGCAGGTAGCGTTCGCTCACCGTTCTGTCTGTCCCACCTTTGTCATTCTACTCGTTCCGGGCGTTCTCAATAAACACCTGTGGAGGATCCTTCGCAAGGTTAATTTTACATTCAAACATTTATTTCAGGCATGCTCAAAAATTTACAGACGAGAGGGTGGAAAGTGACAGTTTTGTCCTCACGGTTCACGCTGCTAGACAGAGAAGAAGTCGACTTCGTTCTCGCAAATGGGCGATGGAATTTTATAAGTTTTTAAAACAAAGGTAACAACAATTTAAAGCAAGTTTATTTTTGGCTTCTATGATTCGCCTTGAATATATTACTTGGTTTAAGTTTGAAAGTGGTTATTGTGTCTGCAGTTTCAATCACTCTTATTGTAAACCAGAGATTTTCAAACAGTATTTGTTGTATGTATGCGGCGTTACCGGGCGTACCAAGGAGTTGCTGTGAGAGCCTTGTCAGTTTTTGTAACTTAATAATAAGGACGCTTGTCTAGGGGGAGGAATGGCAACGGTGAACGACAGTGAACAATGTAACATCTATACGTGACCAGCTAGCTAATTAGTATGGGTAATAGCATGATTTGTAGTAGCTTGTAGTTATATTTGGCATAAATACCACGAGTGATATTTCAAAATTGTTATACGTAATTTCACGAGCCGTTAGGCGAGTGAAATTTGAGACAATTTTGAAATATCACGAGTGGTATTCATGTCAAATATCACGTACAAATCATGCTATTATTTGTTTATACTACTACCTGCAAAAGGTTTGTAATTTTCACACGTAGGTATATATTTCAAATTAAGCTGAAATACCACTGCTCTAAGCCAATAATATTGCAGTAATTTCTCATGTAGTAGTATAAACCGAGTTATATATCAGCGCGCCGATTTTTCAAACCTCTTAATGTAGTTTGAATCTATTCTCTTTCATCGTGTTCTCTAAATAATTCGTATTTTGAAGGTATCGAGACAGATTAACCCGCTGTGTGCTTTTGAAGCCTTCTCTCAAACTTAGAGCATTGGTGGTTTTATCACGGCCCTTTCTTTCGTAAGTAACTGCACTAACGTTTGCTTTTGGTCGCTCATGGAAGCTCCCATACATTCGACATACGTACATGTACATTCCCAGACCCTTTATTTCCTGGAAGCAGCGGATTCGCTTAGTCTCTCTGTGACTTAATAGCTTAGACTGCACAGCACTAGAGACAAGAGTGCTATTGGTAATACAACACAACAATAGAAATTTTGTTTAGTTATTTATTTATCCAAACGCAAGCCAATCTAGGTAAAGGCAACTTCGGGGAAAGTGACGCTTAACATTGTAGTTATACTTAGGCAGTTTATCAATTAAATTATCTTGATACCGCGCGCAGAATATCAAAACAAATAAATCAGTTTTGCTTGATTCTGAATATTAGTCTTATTGAAAAACATTCAACACCGAAATGAATGGCAGTATAGTGTTACAGCAAACTGACATGCCACACACTTTCCTATATACGGGCACATAGTAACTGAAAAGGGATAAATAAACTGCTCTCTTTTTAAATAGTGAAAGCATGAAGGAAAAGATCTACATTGTGAGGAGTCGACGAGATTTTGCCTCGGCCCAAGGTAAGGTTTTAAGGAAAATTGCTTCACTAAGGGTTTACATGCAATCTGCTTAACTATTTCTTTCCACTTCATTATGGGCAGGTCTGCAACGTAAACTTTTTTTCCATTTTTTAAATATCTATTTCCTTCAATTTTTGACGGGTAGAGGTGGTGGTGGTGGAGGGGGTTCTTTCATCCTTACACTTTCCCTATCTTCCTCTTGCTTGAAAATAAAAAAAACTCCGGGCGCTATGCGCAGGAAATGTTAAGCGCTCTTTCGCCTTTCAGACAACTCCAACTCAACTTTCCGACAAATAATTTAAGTATACATGTTTTTAATTGCAGGTCTTCCAGAAAATGCCACTTGCTTGTAGAATTTCCAAGAGCAGATTTTCTTTTTCTGCGGGCTCAAATTCTTTTCTTGACTGGAACTGATTTATGTAATTTCAACTCAGTCTGTCAAAGAGAGTGATTTTATTTTTTGAAGCTTTCAATTTGTTTTACTTGTTCTATTATTGGTGTGAATAAAATTGCTTTAAACATTGACGTTTATGTCGTCGGTATATCGTGCCAATTTACCCATTTATAGCCTGTTTACTTTTGCTTTTAAGCTCAACGCGTAAAAAATAACAGAGAAAACGCAGCCAAGGGACAATGTTCAGCTTGAGCTAGTTTAACTTTGTAAGAATGAGATCGTCAGCTTGCATTGCATGGAAAGGAGAACAATTGAAGGAAAACTCTTTTTATTAGTTAATAATCTATTTTAGTATGTAACAATGAATCTTAACATCTCTTGCCTCCCACGAAGATAACTTTAAGGGAGCTAGGGAAGGACGTACAACTACTTCCTTAACAACGCTTACGCGAGAGGCTAAAACATCTCAGGCGACCCTTTGAACGCTTTTGTGGTGTTTACGTCTAGCTGTCACAAAGTTGTTTCTCATCTAATTTCGTATGATGAAGCTGGCAATCTTCCGCTCTCATCACGGAAGCTGGGGAAGGGGAAGACTTTCCTTTGAAAGATAATAGGATGCTCATTAGGAAATCAGAATGATTAAACTCCTAAGGAAGTCCAATCTAAGACCAATCGGAGTGGGCTAAGCCTAAGTCAAAGGAAAAAATTGACACCTCAGTATAGTTGTTAATCATGGCATTCAATTATTTCGTTCATTTAGGTTCCCTTTTTATTTAATATTGCCATTTATTATATAGATACTGATGAAATACCAGGAATCTTCCTTGTACTAAAAAATCATATCTTCATCGCCTGCATTGAAGATACTATTTTTATCTTTCACGTGCGAGGATAGTGGTGTCGCCATGGTTACTAACCTGATTAGCCTATTATTGTCTTCGTTTCTTCTTTATAACTTTATATCCGAGTTTCGTAACATTTTTGTGACTGGCATTTTGCGATTGTTGACCACTTTAATTGCACTATTTTGTGGTTTCGAAAATGAATAAAAAAATTGTGTTTTATGTAGGAATTTCATCAGTATCTATAAAATAAACAGAACATTACATGACCGCTTGGGGATACGAATTTTATCTGCTCGTGCTGAAATTATCTCTCACGAGTTTTCGCTTCGGTCACTCGTGAGAGATACTTTCAGCACGAGAAGATAAAATTCGTATCCCCAAGCGGCTATGTAATATCCTCTATTTGGAAAAGCGTCAAAAGGGCATGCAGTATTTACTAAGTTCCCTGGAATCAATTCAAAGCACCGTAACACAACTTAACTTGTCGGAAAACGCTCGACGACCGCGAGGAAAATTCCGCACTGAATAAATAAAGCAAAAATGAGATGCAACAATATATAGAAGACCTGATTGCTTATTAAGGGTCCAAGCGAAAAATCATAACTTATTTTGGCCTCTCATTTTACAAGTCCACTGACATAAATTATGGTGGAACAACTTATTTATCCCCTTGCGAAAGTCTCTGCTTACTATAGAATAAATTACAGGATTTGCCGCCGAGTTGATTATCGTAGAAACTATCACCGCATGAAGTAAATGTGCAAAGTATTCTTTCTCGAAGAATGCTGGCCAAAACACCATGGTCAGACGAGACACGTTTAAAGGAAGCATTGTCATCGTGAATATTACAACAATAGGGCTCAGAATTTTCTTGGCTTGGGCGTTTTGCCTTAGGCGTGCGCTTTTTACGTAGGTCAGAAAAACCCTTTTTTCGGCCTCTGACATAGCTTCGTGGACTTGTTGTTTCATAGCTCTGATAAAATCATTGCTCTGCCTTAACACACGTGATATAGAGAGGTAAGTGAGTGATATTACAGCAAGGGGCAGGATGTATGTAAGCAGAGTTAAACTTACGATATATACTGTCGCTAAGAAATTTGACCACTTGACAGGATCGCAGGTACCTCCATTTGAAAGGTGAAAGTAATCAACCACAAAGTAAAGCGGAAGGCAAAATATTAAAAATGATATCACCCACACGCCTGCAGCAATAATTTCTGCTCTCTTTAGCAAGGTTTTGTTTCCCCGATTGCGGTAAAGTATTTTCATGGAAACCATTCTTTGATAGCGCTCAACTGCGATGACCACGATGCACCACACAGATGCACCATAGAAAATTTCCGCCAAAGGGTAAAAGTAGAGGCAAGCAAACCTGCCGAAGGGCCAGCTGATTTCCTTTCTGATAATCACCAGTGGACAAGTTATCAACAAGGTACCAAGGTCTGCTATGGCTAAATTTTGCACATACACATCCACTGGCTGTTTCTTCTTTCCAAGATGACTCATGACTATGATCACTAAAATGTTTCCCATAACTCCTAGCATGACAATTATGGCCTCGAAGGTAAGTATTAGGATCTCGCTAAAAGATATCGTTGTAATTTCTGCCACCAAGGCCCTCTCAAATGAATTATTTCTTGAGCAGAAGCTCTCATTTGCACATAGCACCATTATGCACGGTGTAATGCCTATTTAGTCACTTGAAAGAAGCTGCTCTGTTGAAAATTAAATATTCGGTTCCGTACCCACTGGAGTTTATATACAGACATGAAATATAGGTCGAGCTAAAGGCCAGTTCCCAAGACTTCAGTGTGGCACGTAGACCGTTCATACAGGGAAGGAGTTCTGTACGATCTGCCACATCCTAAATTTTCTACAAACGAGATGCCTTTTTGTAGCTCCTGGGCCAGGATTAATTTAATGCATTCTATTAACAATTTCGTGTCTTGTGCTTGAGTCGGATATTGCAAAAGGTGATGACGGCGTTATTGTATACGTAGCTCCTACAATGGGTCAAGGTATTCGGTACATTCTGCTAACATAATTAACAATTTCGTGTCTTCCGCCGCCCAAGTCAGATAGTGAGAAAGATGATGACGGTGACGTAAAGTTAGTTTTACGGATCGATCAGTCCTTGAATACCATTTCAAACAACATCTTTGGCGAACTGCCATGCTGACACTATGCAAATACATTTTAGCTAATGAGTCGATCATCTTTGGACATGTTGGAAATTAGTGCAGCAGGTGGGTAGCTTGACCTCCACTAAAAACAAAGCATTTTCAATTTATTCCATCATCTTGTAGGATTTTGTTTGTTTGTTTTTAATTTCTTTCTTGGAGGTATCAAGACAGATTGACCCGTTGTGACTATTTAAGTATTTAGCCTTCCTTTATCTCGCTGCGAAACTGCTGGAAGCGATTGACATGCTTTCAAGAACAAAGTGCAACCTGTCCAGACTTCGATCTTTTGGTCTTCTAGGACTGTTACGCCGCAAAATGTAATAATCGCCGCAAAATGTAATATTAACGCAAAATGTAATAAGAATCGCCGCAAAATGTAATACTAACTCAAAATGTAATAACACTGACGCAAAATGTAATAAAATTTTCAACGCAGAATGTAATAATCTTTCAACGCAAATTGTAATAACTTTTCTAACGCAAAATGTAATAATTTCCGAATAACGACGTGAATGCTATTTCAAAATCGGTATTGTTGCTCAGTTATCGGTCGTAGCGAATTCAGATCTTCAATTAAGTTATAAGCTATTATTATTATTGATATTAATATTAATATTAATATCATTAATAATATTAATATTACTATTACTATTTATTATTATTATTATTATTATTATTGCTAATATTACAATGAAACAGTTGAAATGAGGAGATGTAATCATCTTTAGGGAACCGAATGGGACGTTTGTTTCCGCTGATTTGAACGTAATACAGGTCCCAATACAGTGCCCACCTAGCCGTCCCTTAAGCCAACATTTCGCCCTAAGTGAGAAATAAGTGTTAATGTTGGCTTAGGGGAGGGGTATGTTGACAGTTTCCCATAATTATCCAAAAATTCTAACCCAAATCAAATTACCCATACACCCTCCCCCCTCAAGTGGTCAAAAATGGTCGGCCCTAAAAAGACGAAATTGCGCACTTTTTATGGATCTCCAGGATTTGGCGCCGTCAACTCTAAGCCAATGGCGATTGCGTTGCTGAGCAAATTCAAGGTTTCGTTTAGCGTCGAATGCGTTTCCTGATATTGAGTCGGTCGGTCGGATTGAAAAAAAAACCTAAAAAACAAAATCACAAGAAGTCTCAGAATAGGAGGCCATGGTACCCCAGGACGACGTTAAAGTTAACATTCACATAGCTGGATTGATAAAATACACAATATACTGTAAAAAATGTTTATGTCTTTGTTCCTGTTTTTCTCTATGCTGTTACTATGCTCATTTTTCAGATTAAAAGAATTATTTCAGGTGAAAAATGGTTTAACTACGTCGTTACTTTTTTTTTGAAAATGCCAAAAATTTGGGTCGGTCGGACGACGCTAAACGGAGGAAAAAAAAAGGATGGCCCGTTTTCTAATCACAACTGCCTTGCCAGGCAAATAATTTAATGTTTTTGTGCATCAGCTTAGCTCTACTCCAATCAAAAATGCGTTACTGGGCTAACTAAAAAAAATTTGCGCTATCTGTTCTAGGCAAACGACAACTGCCTTACAAAGCAAACTGATTTGACTTTGCAAAGCTTGGAAACTTCAACATAAAAGAAACTTGGGCCTAAAAAACAGCGTTAAGAACAATTCAGCCTCTATTAAGTGAGAACTTAGGAAAAGCAAGCTACAGCCAAAGTTGTCTGGTTCTCATGAAAAAAAGTGTTGCAGATATCTTATATTTTAAATGCATTTGAATTATGCTTTGAAAGTTGATTCTATTACTTGTTTTCGACAACAGCTATTTTATTTGACTGAATTAAATTCAACACCTGAAATTAAACCAAGTCTCTCAGTTGCTACAGTTGTGGCACAGTACAGCAAGCTCTTGCAGCCATTTTTGTCTCGTCACGCAACGCTCCTCCTCCTTTGTTGGGGAAGAGTGTTGCGTGACGAGACAAAACACGGCTGCGAGGGAGACTAGCTCAGCACGAGTAACACGACGTTTCAACTGTTATTTCATTTATAATAATAATAAAAAGAAGAAGAAGAAAATAAATATTATTACTATAATTAATATCAATATTGATAATAATAATAATAATAATAATAATAATTCACATGAAGATCTGGATCAGCTACTGATTACTGAGCCACAATACCGATTTTGAAATAGCATGCACCTCGTTATTTCGGAAATTATTACATTTTGCGTTATTACATTATGCGTTAGAAAAGTTATTACAATTTGCGTTGAAAGATTATTACATTTTGCGTTTAAAATTGTATTACATTGTGCGTCAATGTTATTACATTTTGCGTTAGTATTACATTTTGCGGCGATTCTTATTACATTTTGCGTTAATATTACATTTTGCGGCGATTATTACATTTTGCGGCGTAACAAGGACGATTAAGAGGAAGCAGAAACGGAAAAACGAAGTTTTCTCTACTTGTGCGACGGGTTTCAGTAGTTACTGGTCGACCTCATATTAAAACGAACCGGGTTTCTGGAGTAAATTCAAAGAACTTAGTACATATTCAGCTGGATAATTATTCAAGAATCAATGCTCATTCAACAGAAAATATACTGTCGGAATTGATGTCCATTCAACCGGAGAAATGATTGTCGCCGGCCAATGACGAGCAGAAAACACCGTCGCTTATAGGAGACGGACCATTAGAAATAACCGGAGGTGGGGTGACAATTCCCCAAAAAGAATTCCTGCAAGGGAAGCTTATCTGAAAAAAAAATCCTGCGAGCGGTGATACGTAAAAAAAATTCTGTTTGGGGAAGCGGCAAGCATAGCATTTAAGGTTATTAAACATGGTTAAAAATGAGCGACAGGCATCACACGACCCGGTTCACTTTGTCGTATTGGAAGTTATATGACCTTCAGAGCTTCGCTCTAACTAATAGGTCCTTAAGAGATTTTCCCTTGCGATAAGATATGAGGGGAGGCTCCTTAAAGATTTCTCTTAGCCGTTGCTGGTTTTGTATAAGGTGCCATTTCCCCACTTGTATTCTCTTTAGGCTAGGTAAAGACGGGTGGCATTGTGTTTTCTACGTGCGGATTTGTTTCTCTGTCAAGCGTATCAAGAAATGGTCTATTGTACCGGGTCCAATTCATCAAAACAATAGCCTTTTGTCCTAGGTGATACTAGCGAAAACAGACCGAACAGTCTGTGCATGATCGTTTAATCTTCGGCGTGACAAATTTGTAATACTAGGGGGGAGGGGAGAGGGTTTTTTTGCCTTGACGCGATGCTTTTGATCGGATCGCGCTTTTATACTGAGCGCTCTGAACAAAAAAAATTTCAGTAATACCTTACAGAGAGCGTTCTTAAACAGTTATTAAAACAAGCTTATTATTTGCGCGTCCTACATTCAGAGGTGCGATCTTTGAATGTAATCCATACCTTTTTCTAAGATTGAACGACTTTCGTTCTTATTCTCACCCAAGCGGCCCAGAATACGTTTTCACGACCTTTGTAATCGGCAAACTTTTCCTTCTGAAAATTTATGCGACTTTTTTGTGTGTGCATCTTCATTCTCCCGAGAAAAGAAAAGAGTTTTACGAGAATTCCGAAACGTTAAGAACGAAATGCTTTGTTAGCCTGTGGGCGGAACTTTACAAAGGTGAGATTTTTCAGATCATTGTTGTTGGCTTATTGTTGTTAGTATTGGCGAGGGCATTGAACTCTCGATCAATTGCTCTCTATAAAAAAAATGGACAAGCGAGTTCGACAACAGATAAAAACAGAATAAAAACGTTTGCACAAGCGCGGATAAAACAAGACACGAACAGGGCACGCTTTAGTTCAATAGCTGAATGGGATGTGTGACTTTTTATTCATCTCTTTGTCAGACAACTGAAGCACAGAACTTAAATGCTTTTTTATGACGCTGTGAGAAGCAAGGAAGCCATGCGAAGCAAGTCAAAAGCGACAATATGCCCCGCTCTTTTCGACGAAACACTTTGTAGAATCTTAATGAAAGATCTTTTTCCCCGGGTAGCCGTGTGCGAATTCATTGAAATGAATTGACGAAGCGCGATTTTTGAATGCTGAGTTTACCACTTTGAACTTAACAACCCACTGAATGCGTGTATTAGTTATTTAAATAAATCAATGAAGCGCGAGATTTGAAAGCTGAACTTAGAGTTGTTTGGCCTTTAATATCCCATTGCCGGTAAGCACGCGAAAAGATAGATATTGCTAGAAGCGTTATAAAACAATTCCAAAGTTGAACCAAGTTTTCATGACGACAACGCCTTTACGCAGAAGTTGGATTAGAACGTGAGCGCGCGCGGATAAAACAAGGCACGAACAGGGCACGCTTTAGTTCAATAGCTGAATGCCGCGGATGTGAGACTTTTTATTCATTCTCTTTGTCAGACAACTGAAGCAGAATTTAAATGTTTTTTTTTCATAACGCTGTGAAAAGCAAGGAAGCCTTGCGAAGCGAAATCAAAAGCGACAGTATGTCCCGCTCTTTTCGATGAAAAACACTTTGTAGTAGACTGAAATGAAAGATTTTTTTCTCCGAGTAGCCGGGTGCGAATCTATTCAAATGAATCGACGAAGCGCGAGGTTTGAATGCTAAGTTTACCACTTCGAACATAATAACCCACTGTCTTAAAATAGCGGCAGGGTAGCCTCTTTCTAACGGGCGGTTTTGATAGTTTCTTATATTCCTCTCAAATGTGATCTGCGAGGAATTAGTTCTTAGCAGCCTGAGCGCTTCTCCTTTAACATGCCTCTAATGAAGCCTTTTTTCACGTCTGGTGGGTAACACGAGTAGAAGTTCATGTACTCGAAGGTTTCTGTTGGTTTGTAATGTGTTTGCCCGTCTAGGATTGATTCCTCGTCGAATTTAACCCCTTTGTACACTTTAGTGTCCAAGAACGAGATCTCTGCTTCTGACATCTCAGCCGTTAATTTTATTGTAGAGAGAAAGTCATTTGCCTTTTCCACAGGGCTCTCTTTTTGTTGTCTAGACTTGTCCAATAGTGACAACAAATCGTCAATATACCTTTTCCAAAAAGCGGTTTGATGCAACTCTGACTCAATATTTGATTTTCTTTTCTGGCCATGACGATGTTTGCAAAAGCAACGGCCATTTCGTTCCCATGGCTGTTCCATGGGTTTGTAGTAGTTGCTATGGTACTACTATGATGGGCTATGGATGCGACAACGGGTGGGAATACTGTC